CAGTATATTCTGTGAAGCGCTTTGGGACGTCCTCCCGACGTGAAAAGCGCAATATCAAATGCAAGGATTATTATTATTATTATTATTATTAACTGCACATCAGTCAGTGAAATGTACCCTCTGTACCACTGAATATATATATTAATGTACTGATCCTGTACATTCCAGGCTTCTTCATCAAGAAAAGGGTTAAAAATAGTTTGTCAAAGTTTACAAATGTATGCATAAAATAGAAAATAAATGGATTACAATATAATTCAATTTATACTAATTTCCTCTAGGCTGATCAGAATATGGTCAATAACAACGAGTAAAGCCTCAAGCATTCAAACAAACACATTTGATAGTAGTGACCAAAGAAGGCTTTCAGTTGCACTGAAGGCTATTTCAAATATCACAACTAAATAATCAGCTTTGCTTAAATCTGCTTTGAAAGTTATTGCAGTTTCACTAAGCCAGTTGTGAGGCTACAATCTAATTCATCTTACTTTGTCACGCTCTCTTTGCTAAGAATGGTTCTTCTCTCCATACCACATCTCATCACTCTGTCATTTAATCCCATTAGCACAAAACTGGGTTAGTGCTGATTGATCTGTAGTAGTTCAAGCTGAGGGTATTTAGTTTTATGTACTTTTTCAAAGGGACATTACTTTAAAAACTTGTTTATAATATGGAACTCAGAACATCTGTTGGCTGACTGCAAATAACCACACCTTTGATTTACAGATTCATTTTAAAGTTCTCCAACCATTTTGTTGACCAGACGCTTTTTTGAAAGGGGAAATATTGAATTGGTTCAGTGAGTTTGTCCAGTGTGTTGTTGAACCATGCAGAAGGCTTCCAGCTGATTTGATCCTTCAGTCTGTGGTGAGATATGCTTACTTCCAAAGCAGCACGTCATACCAGGATGAAGTAATGTTTACTACCTGAAAATCAATGATCAGAACAAACTCATCTGCTACCAGGACAAGGGGCAGGCCCTTTAACCCAAACCCCACCTCATTGATAACAGGGAGAATCCAAAGTCTCGGGACACTAAATGTAGATTTGATACTCTGTAAGCCAGCTTCCACCAGGTCCATGTTCGCTTCATACACCAGCTTCTACCAGACACATTACATCTTTACAGTAATGATCAACTTATCTCAGTGCTGTTCATTCTAGAGATCAGTTTCCTCAACAATCTAATTATTCTATGGTCTGCCACCTCCCACCTGTATTAATGATAATAATACTTGCATCTTATAATAGCACCTTTCATGTCAGGAGGACATCTCAAAGCACTTCACAGCATATACTGTAAAATGTAATAGGTTTTGTAGTCAGCCAATTTGCACACAACATCCCATAAACGGCCATCTGGAGGAATATTGGCCATCACCTAAATGACACCAGCAGTATCTCCAGTCAATGTTCTGAAATATGTTTCCATTACTGTTTTCCTCAGTCATTTGTAAACAAGTTAATATTTCAACATTAAAATATATTTTTATTCCAAAGTACAACAACGGTGCTGTGAAGTGGACTTGGGTCTTGTAATTCCTAGAACATTTTGCTGAATGAGCGTTCCTTATTCTATGAGTCTTCAGTTCCGCATATTCAAGTATAATAGAAGGTAGCCGCCAGCGCCAAATAATGGTTCAAGATTGTGAGATAGTAATAATAATCCTTTTATTTGACATGGCACCCACACCATCAAAACATCTCTAAGTGCTTTTAAGATAATTGCTTTGAAGCACTTTGAGCCATCTCAGCAACATGATAAGGCGTTATCTAAGTGTAGTAACTATTGGCAGGCAAACACAGCAATCCATTTTCACACAGCAATCTTCAACATGAGCGAACAATCAATTAAACTGAAGGATTGTTGGCCAGGACATTGGGAGAAATACTCTTGTCCTTTTGAATAATATCATGTGGTTTTACAATTCCATTTATGTCTTATTAGTGACTGCTGCTTTCTATATGCTACTTCATTGCTGAATTGAGTTCTTTGATTGTGAAGTATTTCCCCTCCAACCCTGTTATTACATTTAGTAATTATTTTGCTTATTAGGCAGCTAAAGCATTTTATTAAAATCTTTAATTGGCACAGAAGAATTTCAGACTGGAGTTTATGACAGTAAATTCCTGATAACAAGACTGGCTTAACTACCACCTCAGTAGCTATAGCACAGCTGCTTCCCATGTGAAATTTTAATAAGATACGCCTCTTTACCTGTCACACCACTTAACACATAACTAATCACATTCTAGAAATTTTTCTAAGTACTTACAATGCAAAATTGATCAGATAACTAGTCTGATAGGGTGGCGTCTTGCATCACAGAGTCCTCCTGCCCTATCCAACAACTGGTGTGGGCACTTGGCGGAGCTGGGGCCCATGAACAAATGCATTACAGAGGCCTCTGGTCCATTGGAAGCCCACCACACTGTGGCCTCCCACCCTAACCTATGCAGGACAGGGCATCAGTTCACGATGCAACCTTTCCATAGACCAGAAGCCTCTGTGACAGGAGGGTAGGAGGCCATGATGGAGTCCTGTAGCATAGTTGTTAGAGCTCTCACCTCACAAGTGAGAGGACCTGTGTTTGATTCCCGGGAAGGGCGAAATCTTAGGCTGTTTACCTTGCAGTAAGTAAGAACTGGGTTGTTAGTCGATTGGTGGATCGCTTTCTGGGGGGGTAATAATTCTTTCAACAATAAAGGTAATAATCTGGTCACTCAATCTACAACCGTTTGTGGGACACTGCTGTGCACAATTGGCCTCCACGTTTCATTTACAAAATATACAATCAATTCACTTTACAGTATATTCTGTGAAGCACTTTGAGATGTCTTGAAGACATGATAACGCATCATATCAAATGCAAGGATTATTATTACAGTGCTGCCCTCCAATAAGACCCAGCCAGACCCAAAAGAAACATTGAGGGTAAAGCACACATTTTGTATTTTTTTTTAATTTTCATAACAATAAATTGCAACCAATTATGAAACATAAATGTCTGAAGTCCCTCAGGTTGCACAGGGTCGGTAGTTTTTCCTCTGATACTGATCAAGGCAAACACCAACAAATGAACCAACAAGATTAGGTGGGGAGCTGACACCTCCAAACAGTTTGGCATGATCCTTAAACTGTCAAGTATTAGCAGCCGTCCCTAGTAAAGCCAAGGAACAATTTCTCACAGGTAGAGAATATTGATGAATGCAAAATTACTTTTAGCTTTTCTTCGGCCATTAGTGCTAAACTGCTTTATCTGGGATTTATCAGAACAAGGCAATTCATTTCGGAACCCAGCATTTAATCTTTACTTCCAAACCAACCGTAAGAGTTGCAGTAATGCCTCTCTTATTCCCAGAGAGCAAGACGCATTCGTGAACAGCAACTCTCCATATTAAGCCTCACAAATCTGCATCAGAGTGCTCCACCTGCTGTCCAGAAATCTGACTATTAAACATTAGTTCATTGTAATTTTCTGAGCAGCCAGAGAGCTTTACAACTCAAAATCAAAAATACCCAAACGAGATACACTAGCACATAAAATACAAAACAATAGCAGACGACTACTCTGCTTTAGCTTTTGAAATCCAAATTCTTTACCAAGTGCAAGGAGTATTTCCCCCTAGACAAATGTAGACAAACGGAATTAGATGGACCCATATAGGTTTTTCTCCTTTTTATTAAGTGTACAGTAGTTAAATGCACTTTTCACTATTTTGAAATGATTGCATCGTTTGCCTCACCCACTCCAGTTAAACCATTGATATGAATTCACCCCAGGTGGGGCATAGAGAATAAAGCCAGAAACTTGACAAAGTGTGCCAGCCCTTCACTTCCTGTTAAACCCTTTAAAGAAGGGTTCAAGTTCACTTTCATGCTGTGTTGACTCCACTGTTACTACCAAGCTCATTGTGTGAATCTGTCCCCTGTTCCGTGCCCACCTGCTCCCCTCTAATAATCTGGCACCCATAGGCATCGACAAAAAAAAAAAAGCAAGGCAGATGAGTGTTTGTTTCAGCCAAGGTGCCAGTGAAGCAGTGATATTTGAATGTCACTTCATTCATCCTGGGTTACAGTTGTGTGGTTCTTAGTGAGGGAGTGGGGAGGAGGCAAAGTAAGATGAAAGAGATGTATACATCTTCTCTTTTCCCCCCACAAAAGCTATGCCTCTTCTCAACCCATTATACCCCAAAATCTATGTACTACTATATTGAGTGAATTGTACACATAACAAGCCAACATAAAACAAATGTATTTAGACATTTAGTATTATCCACAAGACAAGCCCTTGTGGATAAAAGGTAATGGAATTTAATGGAGTCTGCTTTTCACGTAGGAGTCCACCCTCCTCTACTTTCTTCAGAGATATGTGGCTGAGCAACAAGCATTTGCAATATTTGGAAAATAATGCCATTACCAAGATAGTAGTACAGCTTTGCGGAAGGGCAAGTTACTCAGTTACTCTGATGCTTTCAGAACCTTTCTACTACTAGACAAATATCCTCACTGTTATTCATAGTCCGTCTAGCCCAGACACTCACCAGCTTGATGTGGAGAAATAAAGCAACTGTGATTTGTAATAAATTTGTGTTTAAAATAAGTTTTAAATATTCATCATTATGCACTTCTAAACATTACTTAGTAGCCAAGAATTTCCTGTCAACTAAAGCCAGTGAGTTTCCTTCATAAACCTGCAGTAACAGTCACAAATTATTAATCTTCCAGTGAGGTCAACAAGAACATGGAGCACACAGTTGCCTCAGTCTGCATCGAAACAAAAAAAGTCCTTTTAAACACAGACAAACAATCTTTTTACAAAGATGTGCAGCCAGAGACAACTGAACATGTACAGGTTCTGAACAGCAAAAGATATAAGAAAACAGCTTGAAGATTTAAAGCCCACTTTGAGCTTTACTTGCTCAGTTTATGGCACATGGGCTTAAGTGGTTGGATTACTGGTCTGTAAACACTCCTTGTTAGCCATCCATCTATGAACATAACAGACATAAGGTAAATCCTCTTGAAAATTGAAGAATTAGTGTAACCGATGAAGCAGTCAGTCCATTTGAATGGAGAAAGATTCACAATTGCTGGCTGTTTTTCTGCCAGCATTGTCCTCTACAGAGAATCTGCTCACTGCCTTTTCCCTTTTGCATCCTCCTTCACTTTCCAGATCATTAGCTCGACACATTCGCGAGCATCCCCAATGGAGTCGTGGCTTTCAGCTAGTAAAAGAAAGATGGAGGGAAATCAAATCTGGTTTTAATGCAAGTTAACCATTAGCACCCAGAACATTATGTTCCACCTACTATCAATCTTCATAGTGCTAAACCATTTTGTTGTGGAAACTACTGCCCACTAGTTATTCTCTGCTCAATGTACAGTAGATTAGAATGCAGGGAAAAAAGTGTTCTTTGGCATCGCAAATGTGAACATCTAAAAATTATCATTTTTTTAAAAAAAACTGCAAAGCTGATTGTTTAGTGTAGTTTGCAGCTGTTAGTGAATTCCACAATGCTGATATACACTACTGGATACAACAAAAGACACATTGCCATCGTTCAGAAAGCTGGATCTTGCATTAATATGATAACAGTTTTAGTACAACATTCAAACTAAGCCACAATCCTGTTTACCAGCAGGCAGAAGCCATAATCCACAAGACAAATGAGTCAGCTTCATGAACGTCAGCATTGAGAGAGCCAAGTGGTTGTAGGGGAGGGGAAAATAAAGGGAACATCATCCTCAGGCCCCATCTAAGTAATTTATATTCAAATCTTAAGGGATCTCTAAATTCACTCTGAAGGTTAGACCAACATTCCTATAAGCTTGGAAAATAATTCAACATCAACAACAAAATTACATTTGTATAGCGCCTTTCACGTTGGGAGGACGTCCCAAGGCGCTGGGTAAGTGGCAAGACTAATAATAGTACATTCTGTATAATTATCTCCAAAATTTTAGTTAATGCCATTTTAGTGAATCTGACAAAAGAGAAGGGCTTAAAGCAAACAATTTACTAACACAGGTAATTTAAACGTACATGAACAATTCCACTGATTCAATACATTTCACATCATCTGTCCAGCCCTTCCAGTCACAGGGCTGAGGTGTATTTAATTCTCAACATCTCACTGTTTTTCCATACTGAGAATACAGTTACTTACCTTTTTCATGGATGATATGTCTGAGGTACTCCGCCACTATGTTTCTGAATGCTCGCTTGTGAGGTAAACCCAAATGGTGTGGGAAGACAATAGACGTGTCAATAATTGTGCTGTGTATAATCTGAAAGAAAATAAACATTATCTGAAGTAAAATTGCAATCAACATAAAATTCTTAGGAAAATAAGTTTGCAACATTCAATCCTTGTTTAACCAAAACAAGGTATCATTCGGTTGAAGTAAACATCATCAATGTAATTGCTTTTTTTAAAAAAAAATTGATAAAAATGTTAGAACTTGTAGATGGAGATTTTACAGTCTCTCCCACCCCAAACAACCAACTGATTGTTAAATTAACAAGCACAAAACTGTTACAAGGCAAATGGTCAGAGTTCTGACAGGCTATTCGCATTACTAGGGAGGGGGTGAGTTAGGGTGAGTGAAGTCCAGACAAATGCTGCCCTCATTCGATGTCCATTCTTCACCAAAAAACGTTGGATAGCAACACCCAGGCTGATTCCTACATTCAGGGATGTTTAAGGCAAGAACGTTCTCTCTTGCAATTCGCAAGTCAATACATCTTTAAAAGAGAGGATGAGCCAGACTTCACTGGCCCACCACCATCGCCACTGGTAACCAAGTAATTACTATTACTTCACCAACCCACTACTGCCGCAGGTAACCAAGTAATTATCATTACTGATAGAAGGTACAGTGGTCAGCTTCAAAATTGAAAACAAATTTGAGAAAGTTTTCAAAAGTTACACAATTTGAATTTTTGCAGATCATGTTCTTAAGACCAACAACATGAGAAACCTGAGACCTATGTTGCTACACAGGCCCCCACTATGATGGTCTTTAGTTCAAATAGTCTGGCAACACTCAATGTATCAGCTAAAACATGAAGAATGCAAGTATTAGAGGACTGTGAAATCAAAAATGAACCCCAACACAAGTCAATATCTTTACAAGGGGATCGCAACGATCATAATTCCAAAGAAATAACTTTCTGCAAAAATAGGTAATTCTCTACTTACCAAAGAGCATTCTCACAATAAAGTACTTCAGTACTTTGAATAATCTCTTTACCTGGGGTTTAGCATTGGATTGTTAAAGAAAGAAACAGTGCTGCCGTTTGAAACTTGGCATAAACTGGAAGCCCAAGTTTACAAATATCATGATCCTTGCATTTGTTGTCTTTCAAAATGCTTCACAGGTAAATTACTGTCAGGTGCAGTGACTATTTGTAGGTAAATATAACAGTCATTTGCACACAGCAATGTCCCACAAACAGCCATGAGGTGAATGACTGATGTACCTGCTCTAGCAGCAAGGCACTGGAGTGTCAGCCGAGAATATGAGCTGAGTCCTAACAGACTTCCAACTCAGAGGCAAGTGAGCTACCAGCTGAGCCAACCCGATACCTACAGCAAATTTTGGCATCCATGAATATTCACTGCCACGTGCATCAAATAAGAGAATGAGAGCTTAGTTGACCAAAAATAATGTCAAACACCCAAAATACATTTCAGTGTGATTTAACTGGAAACAAAATAAGGAAGGAAAGAATTTTCAAACATCTTTATTTCTCTTTTAAAATGGAATGAATTCTTGCATAGGCGAATGGCATAGTGGTTACCTGAAATTAACTATTATAACACAGATTAATGGGAACTACCTCAGTGCATGCAGGAAGGCTGAAATATATCAACANTTTTTTGATTACAAGCCACAAAAAAAGTTTCAAATTCAGGTTTGTCATCACTTGGGAACATCAAGAAAGGGATATACACAAAGTTGGCAAAGTGACCTCAGGTAATGCATGGAAGGGCAGGTTAGAAAACATTAAATTTATATAGCGCCTTTCACGATGGGAGGACATTCCAATGTGCTGAGAAAAGGCTTAAGGAAATGGAGAGAAATGCAAGCAATTGTCACCATTGAAGTTAGTGATATGGGTACCTTTAGTGAAGGGAAACTCGGGGTAAAATTTACACTTTTTAATTAACACGAGTGTAAAATCTGACCAGTGGGGGCAGCACACCCCTCTTCCAGCCCAGGTCCAGCATTTTATTTTAATTTGAGTTGTGCAATTGTTATTTTATACATTTTAGGCCCAATTAATTGGGCTCCCAATTTTTGGTGTTAGCTATTTTTTTCCCCGTCTTGCCCTGCCCATGAAGGTCAAACCCATGCTCACCTAGGCCAAAAGCAATCAGCCCAGTGGACTTGTTCCTAGCAATGTTCAAGCAATTAAAAGTTACAGCTTTATAAAGTTTCCACGTTTTTGCTCCCAAAAATTGTCAATTATAAAATTGCCTTACCTTGAGTGCAAATAGGTCATTTTCTAAACAATGGCCAATTATGATGGAATCAGCACTGAACATGCTCAGTAACACTGCCTGAACTTCACGAAGTGTCTGTTTTGCATTTGCTAAGTCCTTCTGTGTCACACCAGAAAATCTACAAATTAAAAATTTAGAACCTGAGCAGCAAGAAAAATAAACAAATATCCACTAAAGCTGTAGCTGTATTTTTCAGACAACCTCAGGAAGGATATATTGGCTCGGGGGGGGGGGGGGTCCAGTGTCAGATTCACCAGAATTATATCAGGGCTTAAAAGGTTAAATTATAAGAACAACTTGCATAAACTCGTCTGTATTTCCTTGAGTTTATAAGGTTGATGGGTTATCTAATTGAAGTTTTCAAAATAAAGGGATTCGCTAGGGTAGCTACAGAGAAACTATTTCCTCTGGTGGGGGAATCCAGAACAAGGGGGCATAATGTTAAAATTAGAGCTAAGCCACTTGGGAGTGAAATTAGGAAGCAGCTTTTCACCCAAAGGATAATGGAAATCTCTCCCCCAAAAGGCTGTGGATGCTGGATCCAGTCACATTTTCAAGACTGAAGTGGCTAGATTTTTGCTAGGTTGGGGAATCAAGGGATATGGGGTAAGGGCAGGTGTTTGGAGTTGAGGTACAGATCAGTTATGATCTTATAGAATGGTCGAACAAACTTGAGGGGCTGAATGGTCTATTCCTGTTCTTAGAACTGCTTTGGAATCCAAATTTGTTTCCACATTAAAACAATGACTTACTACTTTATATTGAATTATATTATAAACGATAACATCCTAAATCCTTGCGTTTGTTACAATGCCTTATCACATCACCAAATGCTTCAAAGGATTTAATGTAGGATGCAGTGACAGACTGTGCATTTGTAGGTTTGAAGTCCCAGAACGCACTATGGAAACAGCCAAGAGTTGTGGATATGCTAAATAATAGTCAAAAAATGGCAGTCTGGCAATTAACAACAGCTTTACAAAATCAAGTCATATCACAACCAGATTCTTAAATTATCCTGGCAATGTTTAAGGAAGGTCAAGCCAATAACCCTTTTGAAAACAAAAGCTTACCAAGTCTAGGAATTCTCAAGCACTCCTGTTGGAGCCTTATGTTAAATGGGAGCATGGTAACTGTGATGCTCCTGATTATTCCATATAAAATGTGAGCAATGTTAAAAGGTAACCTTAAAACTGACACTTCCATCCTCCTTGGGAAACTTAGTGCAACATAGACTAAGGCACATTTATAGTTTGCTACACTACCTGTGCTTCTGTTAGTACAACTCAGACACTGAAGTAAAATGTTGGACGACTATTGATTCTTATCAAATCTTCAAGAATAAACAGGCTTTTGATTAGTTTCAAACTTTGCAATGTTGTTAAGATTTTTTTAAATGTATTAGTCATGTATTAACTCATATTGCAGATTTCTATAGGTAGTCATGTACTTTGGCAACTTTGCTGCTATTTACAACTAGTTTCTACAGTATAAGTCAGCATCTGTGTTGTGTGTTTTAACTTGTCATTTTACATCACAATGAAACTGAGATCCACGTCCCACATTTTAGCAGTGTCTGCATGGAATGAAGCAGTTAATCGAATATATCTATAAAACTGTTATCCTACGTCATCCTACTACCCTTCCCTCCATCATTTTTTTTGTCCACAATGACAAACTGCTTTAAAAACAAGGAAAACTACCACTAATCAAATTAGCTAGATACCTGATTATAGTTCTCACCCTCCTTCTATAAAAGAACCAATTAATTTGGATGCTATTTACCTGGTGTTGTAATCAATCACCTCATTATCTTGTTTAACAAATGTATCATAAACAACCTCGAAACTGGAGTTGACCACACTTACGCGAGCAATTTCCATACCATGCCTGGTGTAACACTGCAAGAGAAGAAAGCAAGAAAACAGTGAACTGAAGAATGCCCAAAAGGCAGATTAGTTTTTGCTTCTAAATTTGCATTGACCTTGGAGAAGTTAAGCTGCCAGCCATAGGTAGGTCCCGAGATCGCCAACAAAGAGGATACATTATACATAGGTTTGATGAACTCACACCTTCAGCAGCAAACAATATTAAATTATATAATAATAATCCTTGTATTTGATATAGTGCTTTTCACGTCAGGAGGACGTCCCAAAGCGCTTCACAGAACACACTGTAAAGTGAATTGACTGTATATTTGTGGGCGAACGCGGCAGCCAATTGTGCACAGCAATGTCCCACAAACAGTCATAGATTGAAAATGACCAATTTAATTATTGTTTTTGGAGGGATTATTATTAGGGCTGTGTGTGGAGTAAGGAAACTTGCCCAAGGTTTCGCCCTCTGCCTGGAATTGAACTCAGGTCTCTCACTTGCAAAGCGAGTGCTCTAACCACTGAGCTACAGGACTCCACAAATTGGAGGTACATACAAATCTGTCTCATGTACAAAGATTTTAGGACAAAAGTGTTTGATGAAAGGAATAAAGGGCAGAAATAAAAATAAGGTTTTTTTTAAAATATACTTACCATCTCACAGTGCACTGCAAACACACCAGGATTTCCATCAAGGGGCATCAGCCTAAGAAAGGTCTTCATAAAACCTTCAAGGTTTTCTTTTCGATTGCAGACATGCAACTATGAAGAGGCACTGTTCACATCAGTACTTCATACAAAAAGCCATTAAAAAAAGCAGCACACACAAAAAAAATGCTTCCATCTATGAACACAGAGAAAATAACCTGCTCTCATGTATAATTTTGTTTTCCATTCTTCAGGGGGCAATTGGTAATTTTGAATGCACATATCAACCCAGGAAGGTGAAAAAATTAGTTCAGTTTCAAATGGGAGCTCAGCAATTCAAGAATATATTATATATATATATATATTTAAAAAGTTGCTTTAACTTAGCTAAAATAGATTGAGTCATTATGGTCTCTCGTCACATTTCAGGAAGAAATCATCTAGCTAAACCTTACACATGTAGATCTCAAACAATAAGCATGACTTCACTTAACAGCAAAAACAAGTTCTTAATATCCTACCTTATTTTCATTTACTGATGTCTTGCATAGCTTAGCAACCTCACATCCATCTGATCCCAATGACCCTTTACAGCAACTGTATTGGATTTCCCATCCACCAGGCACTATAATTACATAGAGCATCNTTTTTTTTAAATGTACAACATCCCTATGTCATTGGAAGTACAGACATGTTTAATTAATGTTCTTTTTGCCCCAAGGTAAGGTACCCAACATCCCCACAAAATAAAGCGCCCTGTGTGAGGAGAGCTATATATATGCAAGTTATTGTCATCTGAATTTTGTACCCAATAGAGTGACGCACAAACATGGTGGTATATGAAACATTTTGAACCAAGTGCCAATATCTCAGGTCAAGTACGGCACAAACTAAGAACTCCCTACTAAGAAAGGGATTCAGCTCTTCTCTGGGAAGAATATTAATTTTGTCTTGGTGAATACTTGATAATCGATTTCTGGTAATTCCCACAATTATATTTTTGCTCTGTCCAATGCAGAAGCATTTTTGAGGGTAGGGTGCCCAACATCACACAAAATGATAACAACAACAAGCCGAGTACTTGATTACCCTGGTTGATAGGAAGTTTACACTGGATACTTTTCAAACAAATCACACCAACAGTTTGCCTTTTGCGTGTTTAGTACACAGAATACAGTCAATTTAATTTACAATATATTCTGTGAAGCACTTTGAGATGTCTCAAAGACCTGAGAAAATACTATATCAAATGCAAACTTTATTATTAATATTATTGATTATGGACTTAAAAAGGAAAAATTTGCAGGGTTATAGGGTAAGAGTGGGGGAGTGGGACTAGTTGGTAGCTTTTTCAAAGAGCCGCACAGGCACTTGGGACGAATGGCCTCCTTCTGTGCTATAAAATTTTAATGATTTATTGCGTACTCTTGTTTCAGGCAAAAAATAAATTTATTCACACGAAAGACTACCTGCCCATCGATTTAAATGTTCAACCCTTTGAATGTTATTTTCAGTACAATCAATTGTTCCCAACCATTTGCACCCAGAGGAAAGTCCTGTATCCTTTCCCTTACATGTATAAAAGAATGATTGATTTAAGGATTTGGTGTTAAAATATGTACTCACCTCGTTGTGTTTGGGCTGGTTCCCAATGATATTTACATTCCTTTTTAGAGATATAACTTCCTCCAGGTGTTACAGAGAACAATGCTCCACAACGGCAGCAAATCTTGTTCAAAGCTTAAAAAGAACAAGGTCACAACATAAACCTTTTTACATTACAGGAACAATAATAAAAATAATGCTTGCAATTTGATAGGGTCTCTAATGTCAAAATATCTTAAAGCACTTTACAGTAATTACTGTTGAGTGCAGTGATTATTTGTAGCCAAAGCCATGCTGTGTACAGTTATATCCCCCAAACAGCCAGGGGGGGATGGATGACCGATTTATGTGGCACATTGTTGGCTCAGCTTCCCAGGAAAATATCTCCTCTTTTCAAATAGCCTCAGATGTTCTCTTAATAGCCACCCAAACAGAACCTCAATTTAACATATCATTCAAAAGACAAAACCACCAACAGCGCTCACTCCCAATACCATCCTATAGTTGGCAGCCTGCACTATGAACCCACGTACTTTTAATTCAGGCTAAGACACCACTTAATAAGCAAATGTAAACTTCTTCTAAAATTTATGTACGACTATATTAAAAAAAATCCCCAAAAAGCAGTACTAAAAAACCCGTATCACTTGAGAAGATTTGAAACACAGGCTGAAGACAGTAAAAGAACAAAATTACAAGATGGAGAAAGCTTTTACTGTATCATTTGTTTGTCAGTAAAGAGAAACAACAGTCTCCTCTTTAGAAGAAACTCACTGGTATACGTCGTAGTAAATGGGGATTTTAGTAGGCCCTTTAGGCTGGTGATAGAATTATAAAAGTAGATTTTAGTAGAACCATTTCCAATTTTTGTTCAAGCCCCTTTATACACATTCCATTTACTGACAAGAGAGCAGATAACCTCTTTCTTACACACTTTACAGAAGGGCACGAGCGAGGAAGTGTAGAGAAGTTCTGAAAGATTTCTCTTTCCATCTCTGAAGAAGGAGCTTGTGCAAAGAGCGTGGGAGCAGAACAAATTTTAGTCATTCAGTCTGTGTGCTTTGAAGAATGAAGTTGAAGGGTGGAGAATTTACCAATATCGGGAATAGGGGTCTGGCAATACGTGGGCTGTTTTCTCTTTGTTTACACAGCAACAGAGGCAGGTACGCAATCTCAAACTGTTGTTGTGAAAGAACAGGTGGTGGGCATAACTGGAATATCTTTTCAAAAAAATGTCGTTAATCCATGATTGTTTGTGGGACTCTGCTATGCTCAATTGGCTGCTGTGTTTCTCACACAAAAATACAGTCAATTTACTTTAAAGTATATTCTGTGAAGCGCTTTGTCGTCTCGAAGATGTGATAAGACTATCAAATGCAAGTATTATCATTTTTGTTTTTATTATGTGCAGCTGCTTTCAGGTATACAATCTAATCAATGGGAAAAGTAGGTTATCAAACTTCACACAAAAAAAGTAAATGTTAGCGACAGACAATTAATTATCTAAACAAATCCCAACCTTTAAAATCATCCCTGATTTCTCAACAGTTATATGTAGTTTAAGTTTTAAGTGTGAGCTTTACTCTGTTGCTGCTCAGGACGAGATGAGTCAATGGTTTATGTGCCTTTCAAGTCAGCTGTTCATACTGATAAACTAACAGTAGAATTCTCCTGTAGGTTAGAAGAACCCTTATAATAATACTTGCATTTGATATAGCGCTTTTCACGTCTTCTGGACGTCCCAAAGCGCTTCACAGAATAGACTGTAAAGTGAATTGAAGGTATATTTGTGGGCGAAACGTGGCAGCCAATTGTGCACAGCAGTGTCCCACAAACAGTCGGGCATTGAAGTGATCAATTTTATTATTGTTTTTTTTCTTGAGGGATTATTATCAGGCGTGTAGAGTGAGGAAACTTGCCCAAGGTTTTGCCCTGCCGGGAATCGAACCCAGGTCTAGCACCTCCCACAAAGGGTGAGTGTTTCAAAGAGGTTTACAGAATTTACTGTAATGTACATTAGAATGCACAGAACAGGCCATTCGGCCCCGTTGTCTATGCTGGTGTTTATGCTCCACATGAGCCTCCTCCTGCCCTTCTTCAACTAAGCCTTCAAGCCTAACCTTCTATTCCTTTCTCCCTCATATACCTATGTAGCTTTCCCTTAACTACATCTATGCTATTTGCCTCAACAACTCCATGTGGTTGTATGTTCCACATTCCCACTACTCTGTGTGAAGAAACTTCTTCTAACTTCCCTATTTGATCTATTTGTGACTATTTTATATTGATGGCCCCCTTTGCTCCTCTACCCTATTTAGGTTTTTATTTTCCAAAGTGACTATTTGTTGGTAAAATAGTTTGAGAAGTGAGCTGCAGTCAGATTACCTGAAAAAGGTAATTTCCAGTACATAACACTGAATAAAAATCCTTACAAATAAAAAAAAATCTCACAAGAGTGCTTGTAAAACCTTTTGTACATTCAAATATTTCTGTAAATACTGAAATGCAGATCACTATGACATGCACTCTCTCTGGGTGCATTAAATATGTAGCTGGGAATATTCTATAGTTGGAAGTGTAATTTCTACATAAGAGTGAATGGCAATAAACAAAATTAGCTAAGGTTTGCCTGGGAGAGCTGAGCTTACTTTAGTTATTGCAATTCTGTATCTACACCAACACCTGCTGGATACATTTGGTTGTAGTGTACAAATATCATTTTAAAGGGAGATACAATGGAATATTACTGTAGACTAGTATCCCAATGCACAATATATTGTAAATAATCAAATACCTACTTTGGGATAGTTAGTTTCAACTTAAAACATCTTAAAGGATAGACAGCAGCTGACAAACGTGTAAAATACCAAGAGTGAAAACAAAAGGTTTTTAAATCTAATGATTGTAGAAAGCAATAGCTGAATGTGTTTTTCCACACTAAGTCCCACGTTGCTATTTGAATTGATAGGCCCCTAATCTGGGACGATACATCAGTGCAGTACTTGGGGAGTGATGCTTTGTCAGAAATGCAGTCCTCAGAGTGAATGATTATAAATTGAAATCCTGTCTCACCATCTTCAGGAAGATATTAATAAATCCTATGACACTTTTGTAAAAGAGAAAGGAGTTTCTCCCAGTATCCTGACCATCAATCCTCCAGATTAATTGACCAGTCACCTCATGAATGTTTGTAGGACCTTGCTATCACTTACAAAAATAATGCAACTACTTGTGAAGCACAGACGTTTTGATGAAACATTGTGCAATATAAATCTAAGTTTCAGTGAACATTTACAATGCATTTGTAGTCAGATGTGATGCGGTGGAAAGATTTCACACTATACTCACGGTCACCATAGTACTTATCACATCCAAACAATAGTGCAACTCCTGGCTTATCAAAATTTTCTCGAGGATATCCATTCTCCTTTAACTGTTCTTCAGTTAAGACATATTCCTTGAGCAGCCAATACAGTGCAGTATCTGTCTTACACAACACATGTACTGTACAGTTAAAGACAAAGTGAATATCCAGTGTAATTAGTTCAAAAGAAGAATCTTCTGTGGTTCAGGATGGAAACAAGCCTCTTGTTCCACCTTAAATTGTAAATCAGTCCCTCTTATTTTCTTACCCTTAATTTCACTAGATTATATCTGGAATTAAAGGGTTTAGCTACAAAAAGATTGAGTAACTTGGATTTTAATGCATAAAGGATGATTTAGTCACAGTATTCAAAATAACAAAGAGAAGACCCATTCTAGTATAAGGATACAAAACAAGGGGGTATAGTCTTAAAATGCGAGTTAAATCATTTGAAACATCAGACCAGATGAGATTTCTTCATATAGAGAATGTGAAACACACTGCAGGCTATTGATATGGAATCAACTGCACATTAAAAAAAGATAGGTCACTACTAGGAAAATACAAGGGGTGTGACTTTTCCTGTGAAACTTCCTAATATTCACTTACAGGGAAGCAAACAGAGAAAATGTCTGCTAATATCACATCTATTGAAAATGGGCCCTCATTGTGAAACTGACCTTCCAGAACCACTTCAGGAGGGAAGCCTTTGACCGAAGAGTTAACTAGAATAAAAAGCAAAAGCAATTAATCATAACCATCCTTTCCTTCGTGTACTGACCCATCTCACTTTCTATTACAGACATTCTCTCTTAGTCTGAAGACATACCATTTGAAACAGTTGAACCAAGATTTCCCAGATTGCGGAGTTTCTTCAAAGCACTTACAGCTACGTTCAGATATACAGACCTGGCTGGATTATGTTCATAGATCATCATTTCTTCAGAGATTGCCTTGAACACATTTGCGGAAGATGAGGAAAAGAGGAACATAATAAAGGAATACTGAAAGAGTTATATTTTGTTTTTCCATAACCCACATCGTTGCAGTCATTTTGGTGCATCGCAAAATACCCAGAGTGATACAAGTGCCTGGTCAAGCTGACTGGTATGCAGACATACAGCAGAGATGGTGAAAGGCCACTCTGAAAGCACTTACAGTACTGGCTGGACACCAGAGCTAGGGTTGGAAGTCAAGGGGGGAGGTGAGGAGGAATGACCTAAAGCGTGCTCAAAGATTTAGGCTTTGAGACAGATATTGAGTTGATCTGACATCCGATGAGAAGTAGAGGTAAGAAGGGGGAAGGTGAAAGATATTGGAATTAAAAGATCTGACGCGATTTTAAGATTGCGAAATGGTCCCAATGGGCTGAAGGGACACTTCTTATTCTATTTTCCTATTTCAGATTACGAATGCTTGAGTTCATTGCTTTTAGCCATTTCCAATCTCCCAGCAACTGAGTAATCATCACCATGTGCAGAGGACTGATCATCTCACTCCCACTGATAAGCAGATCAACCAAATTCTCTTGTACATTTACAGTTAATATATAGATAGGAAAGGACGGCTATGATTAAATTGTACATCGGTGGTCGGGCCTTCAGCCTCTCTGCCCCCACCCTTTGGAACTCCATTCCACATACCCTTCCCCCCCATCCCTTCTGATCCCAACCCTCCGCTTGGGTGCAAATCCTCGACTGTCTAGCACTTTGGATTAGTGACTATCCTCCTTGGAGGGGAGGAAAGCGGGGTCTCCTTGGAGTTCAACTGGCTCCAAGGTGACATGCCTGGCAATGGAATGTTGGAATCGAGCCAGCCCTCTGCAGTGGTCTCGGTAGTCCGGTTCCTGAGCCAGGCAGGTCCACGGTATTCCAGGGCACTGCTGATGACAGCACAGCCAGCCTGGCTCATTGGCAGGACCTGGAAGGGGAGACCAGTCACTGGGGGCAGGGATTTATCCTACTCAGCTCATGTTAACCCTGCAAGCCACAGCCCTAATGGGTAAGGTGGTCCTAGCTGGACTAGCAGCAAGAAAGTTTGTCGAGCTAAGGGGTATTTGCTGGTTAGACTCCAGTTATACCCCAACGTATACTCTGGGGTCCCCAAGTCTTGCCAACCTGCACCTAATACTTTCCGGAATTAGGTAAGCAGGATGTGTCCCTCAAAGGAGCGAGTGTGCATTCCATTACAACAATCTATCTCTGGGATTTCCATGTGTAGATGGGATGTATGGAAACCTCAGTTTGTTTTGGATACTCTTAAACACAGCGATTGGTTTCTGCATGTGTCAGACACCCGGATGACCAAAAAGAAAAAAAGGCCTTGGGATGTGCTTCTGATGTGAAAGGCGCTATATAAATGTAGTTTGTTATAAGGAAAGTACAGATTGAAATAACTAACTACACAATGGAATTCAAAGGTGTGCATACTTACCAGATTCTTAAAGAGTACTTACTATACAAAGTATCAAACATTCATGCAAAATTCCTCTCCCAAAAAGTTGAGCAAAATGATTTCAACTTGGGTTTACTCAGCAACAGCAAGTTATGCACAATACCGTCGATAATGTCTCGAATTACTTCAAAATAAAGTTACCTTATTGAAGGCCTCTTGCTCAGTCGAGCAGATCTTTAAGAATTCTTCAATGAAAAAATTAAGGTATCGATGCCTGACCCTTTTGGAAATGTTAGAACCTCTTTCTGCAGAAGGAGCTGCTCTCTTCACATTAGTTCCCTGAAAAGACAATCAAAAGAAGCAGACATCAGTTTCATGATGGTTCAATTTTTTCTCAAAAAATCTTACTTTAAAAGGTAAATGACAAAAGCCTCACCTGTAGAACAGAGGTGCAATAGTCCTTCCTCTTGGATAAAGTACATGCAACCTTTGCCGCAATCTGAGAAACTGTCCGCTCTTTTAAGTGGGCATTATGGCTGGAGCTACTAAGTGTAGCAGACCTTCTTCCTGAGTTATTTGAAGAAACTAGAAACACTACCAGTTAGTGTCTTACTGTATTATAATAAATTCAGCAGCATCCAATCAATTCCCCCCAAACACACACCCATCCCTCGGGGGCCAAAGAGAAAGTAAAGGAGAGCAGGTAAGCAGGCTCTCCTTGGAGCTGAGCTACAAGGTTAATATAATAATAGCATTAGATATAGGGCTTGATCACACCTTCGAGACATCTCAATGCTTCACAGAATATATACTGTAAAGTGAATTGACTGTATATTATGGGCAAAACGCAGCAGCCAATTGCGCACAGCAGTATCCCACAAACAAGTCATGGATTGAGTCACCAAATTATTATTATTATTTTTTTTGCCTGAGGTTGATTGAATGTTGGAAATCAAGTCAATCTCTGTGGTTGTCTCTGGGCACTGCTAATGAAAGACCAGCCAGCCTAGATCAGCAGGCCCTGGGGCAACTAACCAATCACTAAGAGTCGGGATTCTTCCCACTTGGCACCTGTTAATCCTCCAAGCGCAAACCTTAAACACTTTAACAGATAGGCTGGTCCTAGCTGGTCATGCAGTGGGAAGCTTGTCACCCAGTGTTCTCAATGGCAGCCCAGGGGATTTTAGCTGGTTTCAGCCATTCCACAACTCACTCTGGGATCTACAAGCCTTGCCTCTTGCCAATCTATACCTAATATCCGTTCACTCCCTGGCACTACCCTACCTCCCCGGCACCTCCACTCGACTGGCACCAGCCTCCTGCTCGTCCCTCATGCTCCTGCTCCACCATTGGAGGTCGCGCTTTCAGCCACTACGTCCAGAAACCGTGGAACACTCTCCCTCAATCCCTCCGTCTTGCCCCCTTTCTCCCCTTTTTCCAAGTACAGTCTGAAAATCTTCCTTTTCGACCATGCTTACAGTCACCTCTCCCCCCACCCCTGGCTCGGTGTCAGGCTCCACCACTGTTAAGCAGTCTGTGTGGAGGGTGCTATATAAGTGCAAGTTGTTGTAATACTCTGAAATAGATAAGCAGGGTGTGTGGCTCCAGGGAGAGAATGCACAATCCATTTCAGACTGGGAAACTTCCCACACGTGACAATAGTGTGGAACTGTGTCTGGTTTGGATGCTCTCAAACATGGAGATAGTTCACAATGTGTCAGACACCCGGGGACCAAAAACATTTCCAATCTAGAGCTGAATGTTGTGCTGCGCGGCGCTCGCGGACCTCGAGGCGCACGGGGCTGGCTGTGGGTTGTCCAGATTCGAGCTGGGGCATCAGGAGCTCTGGGGCTCAAAGTCGAGGTCTCCCGTGGACGGGGAGCGTGGAGTGGAGTTGGAGGCAACCTACCTGGGATCAAGGCCCAAGGCGCCCGGAGCGAGGCTGGGACTGGCGCCTCGCTCTGGACCCGTGGCTCAATGTCCAGCGGGACCTGTGACACGGTCAGAGCCGTTGCCTGGGGCAGCTCAGCGGCGAGCGTGACCCATGGTGAGGCTGACGCAAGGTCTGAGGACTTCCCCGGTGAGGAGTTCGATGCCCAAGGCCACCCGGGGTGGTGCGGTGGGACTCGCAAGGGTCTCAGCACTAGCGCCCGCACCGCCATCCGGGACTCTGAGGGCTCAGCCAATCAACAACTGGCTGCCGCATGATGTTATCCCGCCCGCCTCATTTGAATCTCGAGGCCAGGACTCACAGGGAAGACATCACCGGCCCCATCACTGCCCCCATCACCTCACTGAGCCTCACCAGCCCAGCGGGCTAACCATGGCTCGCTGTACACTCCTGTCTGCTCCGAGTCTCAGCATGTGCACATTGGCTGCCACAATTGACCCGAGTTGCTTCCCCAAGATGTTCCCGACCCCATCCCCTTCAACCATGCCATTGGTCACACCCCTCCCCTCCCTTCTCCCCCTGACCCCAGCTCGGGTCTGAAATGCTGTACACTGTCCAGCGCCTTGGGACGTCCTCCCGACAAGAAAGGCGCTATACAAATGTAATCTTGTTGTTGTTGCCTGTGGCATTAGGAGAGCAGAGCATTTATTACCTGATTTTATGGCACCAACTGGTGGAGGGATTGCTCCTTGCACAAGTATTTTCTTTGAACAGGTAGGAGCAGCAGAGGAAGTGGTGGCAGCTTTATAGGCCTGAGCACCTTTCACATTGGCTGTCAGCTGTATAGCCTGCTGCTGCACTTGCACGATTCGATTCCGGCGCTGTAGCTTGGGCATCGGGAGGGAGCACGGAACAATTACTCGTCTGCAGACAGATTTTTCCTGATTGTAGATGAAACCAAAAATATACCCTTTAATAAGGCCAACAGTTACCCCATAAGTTCTAATTATAAACTACTATAGATGCACAGTTAGCTGTGTGAATGAGCCTGATCAAAATTATTGTCTGAGAACATAAAACCTACTTTAGCAAATTTTGAGATGTGTGCAATCCTCTTCTTTTGTCCTGGCACAGCATTTTTTGCCTTTGCGGATTCTTGCACATCTGGTTTTGTTTTGGCCGCTGTGACATTCTAAATAAATAATAATAATATTTGATAATCACATTGAGACGTCTCAAAGGATTCACAGAATAATTAGTACCGGTAAAGTGAATTGACTATTTTGTGAGTGAAATGTGGCAGCCAATTGCTCAAAGCAAACATGGTAGAGAAGACCATATGAAACACTGGTGTGCTTTTTTTTTATTCATTGCCCCACTTCAAACCAAGCATCACAAAATAATAATACTTGTATTTGATATAGCGCTTTTCATGTCTTCCAGACGTCACAAAGCATTTCACAGAATATACTATAAAGTGAATTGACTGTATATTTGTGGGCGAAACGCGGCAGCCAATTGCACACAGCAGTGTCCCACAAGCAGTTGTGGATTGATTGACTAAATTATTACTGCTTTTTTTCTTGAGGGATTATCAGGCGTGTGGAGTAAGGAAACTTGCCTAAGGTTTCGCCCTGCCAGGAATCAAACCCAGGTCTCACGCTTGTGAGCCAAGTGCTCTAATCACTGAGCTACAATGCATTGGGTCCAATAAAATAATCCTTGCATTTAATATAGTGATCTTCCTGACCAACATTGTTAGAAATGAATCCTGCAAATCCAGCAGAAAGCTATACAAGTGACAGCCAACGTATAAAGCTGCCACCGCTTCCTCTGCTGCTTCTACCTACTCTGAACTGAAAAAAAATTGTACAACGATCAATCCCTGGACCAGTTGAGGCCACAAAATTTGGTAATAATCCAATTCAGAGTTCATATGGAAAAGGACAAGGAACCATCTAAGGTGAAGATACTCAACTGGAAGAGGGCAAATTTCAGTGAGTTAAAAAGGGACCTAGCCAAGGTGGACTGGAAAGAAAGATTGGCAGGTAAACGACTAAAGAGCAGTGGTCTTCAAGGATGAGATAGCTCGGGGGCAGAATAAATACATTCCCACAAAAGGGAAAAGTAGGGCATTCAAACCTCCCTGGATGACGAAAGTAATTGTATCTAGAATTAAGCAGAAAAAGGAGGTGTATGACAAATGTCAAACCCAAGATACAGAAGACAACCAAATAGAATATAGGAAGTGCAGAAGAGAACTGAAAAAGGAAATAAGAGGGGCTAAAAGATTATACGAAAAAAGGTTAGAGGGTAACATTAAAGGGAATTCTAAAATATTTTACAAACATATCAAGAAAAAAAATTTAGTCAAAGGTAGGGTGGGGCCAATTAAGGACCAAGGCAGAAATCTTATTGTGGAGGCAGAGGGCATGGCTGATGTACTGAATGAGTACTTTGCATCTGTCTTCACAAAAGAAGTGGATGCACCAAATGTCGCAGTATCGGCAGAGAGGGTAGAGGAAATGGATAGGATAAGTATAAACAGAGAGGAAGTACTGAAAAAGTTGATTGGGCTGAAGGTAGATAAGTCGCCCGGTCTGGGCTGGATGCAGCCAAGGGTACTGTGGGAGGCACGGGTACAAATAGCGGAGGCTTTGGCTACAATTTTTCAATCTTCGTTGGACACAGGAGTGGTGCCAGAGGACTGGAGAGTGGCCAATGTTACTCCTCTGTACAAAAAAGGACAGAAGGACAATCCTGGGAACAACAGGCCAGTCAGCCTAACATCAGTAGTGGGGAAACTCCTGGAGACTATAATCCAGGACAGAATAAATCTTCACTTAGAAGAATATGGGTTAATTAGGGAAAGCCAGTACAGATTTGTTAAAGGCAAATCTTGTCTGATAAATCTAATAGAATTTTTCAATGAGGTAACGGAGAGGGTGGATAAAGGTAGTGCAGTTGATGTAGTTTATATGGACTTTCAAAAGGCATTTGACAAAGTGCTACATGAAAGACTTGTAAGAAAGATAGAAGCCCATAGTATAAAAGGAACAGTGGTAGCATGGATCCAGAACTGGCTGGGAGACAGAAAGCAGAGAGTTGTGGTGAATGGCTCTCGACGAATGGCTTCTCCTCTCGACGAATGGCTTCTCCTCCACCCCCCGTACTGTCTCATGTGGTGTCCCTCAGGGCTCTGTCCTCGGTCCCCTCATCTTCATCCTCTATATGCTCCCCCTCGGTGACATCATCCGCAGACATGGAGTTAACTTCCACATGTATGCGGATGACACCCAACTCTACCTTTCCTCCTCTACTCTCAACTCCACGACCACCGATGTCCTGACAGCCTGCCTGTCCAACATCGAGTCCTGGACGAGAGACAACTTTCTTCAGCTCAACGTGCGAAAAACCAAGGCCCTCCTGATTGGCTCACGTCAGCGCCTTCGCACCTCAGGCGCCGACACCATCAGCATCCAAGGCTGCACTCTCCACCTCTCAAAGCCAGTCAGGAACCTCGGCGTTTTGTTCAACCCTGAGTTGTCCTTTCTCCCTCACATCCGCACCACAACTGGCACCGCCTTCCATCACCTCCGGAACATCGCCAGACTACGGCACTACCTCACCCCTCACGGTGCTGAAACACTGGTCCATGCCTTTGTCACCTCAAGGCTGGACTATGGGAACTCTCTCCTCGCCGGCCTTCCCGCCACCTCCCTCCACAAGCTGCAGGTCATTCAGAACTCTGCAGCTCGTGTACTGTCCCGCACCCGGCTTCGCGACCACATCACTCCCACCCTCGCTCGCCTCCACTGGCTCCCCATCCCCCAGAGGATTGATTTCAAGATCCTCATCCTCACCTACAAGGCCATTCACGGCCTTGCTCCCTCCTACCTCTCCAACCTACTATCCCCCTACCTACCTGCCCGTACCCTCCGTTCCTCTGGCTCCGGTCTGCTCCACGTCCCCCGCCCCAATCGCCCTACCATCGGTGGTCGGGCTTTCAGCCTCTCAGCCCCTAGGCTCTGGAACTCCATCCCCCAGTGCCTTCGCCGCCTCCTCCCTCTCCTCCTTCAAGGCCGGTCTCAAAACCTTTCTCTTTGACCGAGCCTTCAGCTCCCCTCTCGACTCTCTTCGCCCTCCTCACTCCCTCCCTTCCCTCCCCTCACCCTGACCATTTCCCCCCTCCTCGCTCCCTCCCTTCCCTCCCCTCACCCTGACCATTTCCCCCCTGCTCGGGTCATGACCCAACTGTGCAGCGCCTTGGGACGTCCTCCTGACGTGAAAGGCGCTTTATAAATGGAATCTTGTTGTTGTTGCTTTTCTGACTGGAAGGAAGTGTACAGTGGTGTCCCCCAGGGATCGGTATTAGGACCAATGCTCTTCCTATATACATAAATGATCGGGACTTGGGTATAGCAAGTACCATTTCCAAGTTTGTGGACAACACAGTTAGGTAGGGTGGTAAACACTGAGAAGGATAGTAGCCAACTGCAGGAAGACATAGACAGAATGGTAAAATGGGCAGACACATGGCAGATGAATTTCAATGTGGAGAAATGTGAGGTAATGCATTTTGGTAGAAAGAATGAGGGGAGGCAATACAGGCTGGTAATACAATCTTAAGGGGGTTAAAAGAACAGAGAGACCTGGGGGTTCAGGTAAATGAATCCTTGAAGGTGGCAGGACAGGTAAATAAAGCTGTAGAAAGGGCATATGGGATACTAGGCTTTATAAATAGGGGCATAGAGTACAAGAGTCAGGAGGTTATGATTAACGTATATAAAACACTGGTTAGGCCTCAGTTAGAATACTGCACCCAGTTCTGGGCACCACACTATAGGAATTATGTTAAGGCATTGGAAAGGGTACAGAGGAGATTTACAAGGATGGTACCAGGAATGAGGGACTTTGATTATGAGGAAAGGTTAGAGAGGATGGGATTATTCTCATTGGAGCAGAGAAGGTTACGAGGAGACCTAATAGAGGTTTTCAAAATCATGAGGGGATTTGATAAGTTAGAAAGGGAAAAACTGTTTCCACTGGTGGGCGTGTCAGTGACTCGAGGTCACAGATTTAAAATAGTCTCTAAAAGAAGCAGAGGGGAGGCGAGAAGAAATGTTTTCACGCAGTGAGTTGTTCGAATCTGGAATGCATTGCCTGAAAGGGTGGTGGAGGCTGATTCGATAACAACTTTTAAAAACGCAGTGGATGGGTATTTGAGGAGCACAGGTTTGCAGGGTTATGGGGAAAGGGCTGGGGAGTGGGATTGACATTACATTGCTCTTTTCAAACAGCCGGCACAGACTCAATGAGCTGAATGGCCTCTTTTTGTGTTGTACAATTCTATGATTCTATGAACTGCTCTACTCTCCTAATGCGGCAGCACAAAATTCAATTTGAAATCCTATTTTTTGGGGGGGGGGCGAAACCAGACCCCATGTTTGAGGATATCCAAACCAGACAGAGGTCCACGCATGAATATAATAATAATCCTTGCATTTGATATAGCGCTTTTCACATCGGGAGGATGTCCCAAAGCGCTTCACAGAACACACTGTAAAGTGAATTGACTGTATATGTGTGGGCGAACGCGGCAGCCAATTGTGCACAGCAATGTCCCACAAACAGTCGTAGATTGAAAATGACCAATTTATTATTGTTTTTGGAGGGATTATTATTATTAGGCGTGTGGAGTAAGGAAACTTGCCCAAGGTTTCGCCCTGCCTGGAATACGACCTACATATGTCTCAAACCTCTTCACAGAATATACTGTAAAGTTTAGCAACTGTATTTTGTAGGCAAATACCACTGACTTTAAAGTTGTCTATGTTCCAACTTGTGTATGCTGACATTCAAATACAGTGCTGGGAGTAAACTGCATTGTCTGAGGTGCCATCCTTCAAATGAGACATTAAAACTATGTCCCACCTGCCTGTCCAGGTGGCTGATAAAGATCCCATAGCAACATTTCAAAAAAAAAAAAAAAAAAAAAGGAATTGAGTTTCTCTCAGTGTCCTGGCTAACAAATCCCAAATAAAATTAAGTCACTCACTGCTTGGCTGTTTGTGGGGCATTGCTGTGACAAATTTTGCTGAGATCACCCACAAAAGCCAATTACACCACTTTATAATAAATCCTGTGAAGCACTTTGAGATGTCTTGAGACAAGACACTATATCAAATGCAATTATTATTGCTTCTTTAATATACTGCAATTACCAAATAATTTGTGCTTTTGTGTATATATATACACACACATATTACAAAAATACACGTAGAAAACACAACTGACCAAAATCAATAAGTTAGACAATCATCTTATGTATGAAGTATTCAACTTTTAACAAAATGTTCAGTGTTTTAGTCTTTCCAAAAGAGACAATGTAAACATACAGTAAATACCTGTTTAGCTTCTGTTCCACTGTCTTTAGTTTCTTGTTTGGAGGATTCATTAAAAATCCTAAAGCATTCCTCCATTGGGTCAGATTCAGAAAAGTCTAGATCTTCATCTAAAAGTGAACTGGACACATCTTCCTCTGAAAGAGACAATTCCTCCCCTCTATCAATTGTATTTCGTAGACTCTCATCTCCCTTTTTCAAACCCTCAGCCCCTTTTTCATCATCAAAAATGTCACCTTGGTTCGGCCACTTTTGTCCTTGCTGATTGATCCTTGAGGTATTGTTACCCAAGTCATCACTGTATTTGCTCTCATTGACAGCACCCTGACCACTGCACTTCAGTACAGTGCATGCAGTCTGCCAATTGACTTCCAGATTTGTGTAGCTGGTTTCAGGCAGTCTCTTGGACGCTCTGTAATGCGATTCTTCATAGATTTTTTCTTTCATAGCTTCACGTTTCTGACACACCACTTTGGACTCATCAGGTATAAATTCACTTCCAAGTTCCTGATCCAGAGATTTTGCAGGTTTAGTGGCATTTGCACAAGTCCCCGAATTTATCTTTTTAACCATTTCTAGACCCAACAGCTTTCTTTTTCCAGATTTGCTCGGAAGCCCATAGCTTCTGCTGCTCTCATTCACGGGACCATCTGTTAAGGTGAATGGATTGCTCTCATTTGAGTTACATTTTTGTTTTTCTTGCAAATCCCCTGAATAGATACCACATTTGCTGTTACCATCCTTCATTGCTGAAAAGCCATCGGTATCAGTCGTTGATTTTCTCACGTCCACCAGTAGAGCGGTGGCCTCAGCCTTCTTGCGCTGCCTTACTTTACGAATTAAACTAAGATTCAAAATAGTATTATCAGTTCTCTCACTCTGGAACCTCTTCTTGGCAGCTGGCTTTTGAATGGAAAGAGGCATCTTAGGAATATCATCATCATCGTCAGATTCCTGCAAGCTTACTGCTGATTTTAAACATTTAGCATTTCTCTTCCTGGTTGCAAACTCCTTCACAAGGGGTGGAATTTCTGGAATATCAATAACAAGCTCATCAGATGACTCCTGCAAACTGAATTCTGATTCAGAGCTCCTCGCTCTTTTGGATGCTAGCGAGTGCCTCTTTTCATGGTTGTGCTCAATGGAACTCTGAAATCGTTCCTTTTCCTCCATATTTTGCTTCCCGAGATATTGGCTCCCAAAATTAGTAGAATAGTTCATCAGTGGGTCATACTCTAAGTCATTGCATAGCCTGTGATTACCATTCATATACTTATTATGCAGATCTGTGCACTCACTGTGTGTTGTCTTGGAAATGGCCATGGTTTCATGCTGAAATAAATGTTTCTCTTCAGCTTGCTCAGTCAAATCACTGAGTGAGCTCTTACTTACAGAACTGTTAGATATCGAAGTTGGATTGAAGATAATGTGGTTGAATTGGGCATCTGGTACTTCACACACTGATACACGCTGAAGAGATGGTAAAACATTCTTCACCTTAGGAGTAGGAGAGCTGTAGTTATAGTCATTGCTTGTCGATGGGGTCATCGAGTCACACGACTCACATTCCAGCAACGACTTATACTTCAAAAGCTTCTGCTGTTGCTCTTGCACCTCACTCTTGACCACCTCAATAGCTTTGCTGACCTTTTCCAATTCAAGCACTGTATGCGCAACTTCAGGCAATTTGGGCAAATCATTTTGCTCCTCCAATACCTTAAGACCCACAGCTGTAGAGAATTCAAATTCGGATGGCACAGCTACAGAGTCTGTTAAAAAAAATTAAGACCTAGTACACAAGATTGATTACTGTAATCAAGGAGAGAATACACATTATCAAGTCAATGGAAACTATAAATAGTTGCCTTCATTTGGGTTTCTAAACATTCTAGACATATTAGTCTACAAAGAAAATTTGGTGTGTTAAAAACAGAAACTCAGCCATGAAATGAAAACAGTAACAAAAAACCAACATATCTTTTTTTAAAAAAGGGTAATGTGACACATTAAAACCATCAGGTTCTCAATGAAATGGGTCAAGATCTACCCAGATGTACCAGCTGATCAACAACAACTTGCATTTATATAATATATTTATATTTGATATAGCGCCTTATCACTTCTTTGAAATGTCTCAAAGCGCTTCACAGAATATACTGTAAAGTGAATTGACTATTTCGTGGGAGAAACGCGGCAGCCAATTGGTGCACAGCAGTGTCCCACAACGGGGACCAAATTATTATTTTTATTGGGAGGGATTATTGCCCCAGGAAAATGATCGGCCAATCGACTAACACCTGACCTCCTACTTACTGCTAGGTAAACAGAGGTGTGTGGAGTAAGGAAATCTGCCCAAGGTTTTGCCCCACCCGGGAATCGAGCCCAGGTCCTCTCGCTTGTGAAACGAGCGTTCCAACCACTAAGCTACAAGAATCCACTCGTGCAGGGTAGCACAGTGCTTCCGATCGTTCCCAGAGTAAAAGCAAAGTGAGATTCCAAACTGGTAGGAGGTCGGGCAAGAACAGATTTATGTCTCAAAATTATTTATTAAGGCAAACAGAGAAACAAAGCTTTCTCTATAGAGAAAAGAAGGAAATAAATATTAGATGGTAAGTTACCCAGCCCACCCTGCCATACACCACCTACTGGTCAGCTAAACAGCAGAAGCAAAGGCCAGAGAAGTTATTAACCCACTAGCTGTGGAGTCCTGTAGCTCAGTGGTTAGAGCATTCGCCTCACAAGCGAGAAGCCTGGGTTCGATTCCCAGCAGGGCGAAAGCTTGGGCACGTTTCCTTACTCCACCCGCCTGATAACAATCCCTTAAAAAAAAAATTGGTCAAACAATCTACGACTGTTTGTGGGACACTGCTATGCGCAATTGGCTGCTGCATTTCACCCACAAATGTACAGTCAATTCACTTTACAGTATATTCTGTGAAGCACTTTGAGACGTCTAGAAGACATGAAAAGCGCTTTATCAAATGCAAAGATCATTATAGCTCAATCAAGGAATTATCCAAAGAGTTTCGAATGAAAGGAGGAAAAACAATTTTTTTTAAACTGTCTCCCAGTGGAATACATCTTAGAAGTTCTACGGTACAATTAGCTATCCAACTCCTTAAGCTTCATTTGTGAGCCTCAACTGCAATATGAAGATGCTGAAGAGTCAGATCAAAATCCTGTCCATACACATGCACTTTCCAGATGGTTATTAGTCAGTGATCAGTAAAGGGAGTGCTAGTATTATACTTCCTGTACCCGGCACCATGGCACAAATTACAGTCTCTTCTCAAAGCCTGAAAAAAAATCAAAGAACAACCATTTAAATTATCTAAAGGACTAATGCAGGTTAGTTTAATTTGAGGAGCAGCTACTCTGACCACACAGTCAACAACAACTTGCATGTATATAATGCCAGTCACACAGTGTAGCATCCCAATCCCCAATAGTTCCAAGTGGCAGGAGATCAGGACAGTTATAACACACAAGGAAAGGTTTCTTGGAAGATATCCTTATAATCAAGGCAACATAAAAAGCTCAACTACAAGGCAAACATTGTACAGACAGAAAAAGCAAGGCTGGCGATACTTGCCTTCGCTCCTCCTCTTTCAATAATGTTAAAAATAAATCCGTCTTTCTACACCAGAATAAAGAACAGATAAACACCTCTCTAATACCAGGACAGGAATTAACATAAATGGTGACCATCATGCCCAAATGAAAAAAACATTAGACCCTAGGGTAGCTTAATGGTTAAACTGACCATGAAATTTGGCTCTGAGCTATACAAACCAGAATAGCCCCAGATTTCATCCCCTGGCATATGCAGAGTTATTTTAAATTTAAAGGGGATGGAAAAGCTCAGAACACACTGCTGATTAGTTTGCTAACCAATGTTGTTTTTGGTCAGCCAGATATCTGACGCATGCAGAAACCCATCAATTTAAGAATACCCAAAGCCAGACTACACGAACAACAAATTATTAAATTGCAGGTAGGTCTCTTGAGGTCTGCACTGGATCAGCTGGGATGCCCTGGGCAGTCAAAACAGCTGCCCAGGATCACACACCTTGGGGTGACCACTAAAGTGTGGATGGCAACATCCACAAAACTCAGTCAAACACCAGTCACCCCCTTAAGTAATAAGAAAGGAAAACTGAGGGGATAAATAATTCCCTTAAAACACCATCACCTGAGCATGTGGCCACTAACCAACCAACCTATCATAGGAACATATAGGAATAAAAGACCAGGAGTAGGCCATTAAGCCCCTCGAGCCTGTTCCAACATACTATTTGATCATGGCTGATCTGTACCTGAATTCCAATTATTAAATTATCATTAAATTCTTCTTAATTCAACTCAATCCCACTGAGGGGAATGCTAGCAAAAAATAACCAGCATCAAACAGGTGAAAATTAATAGGATAATATGCATTAATCAGATAGCTATCCCTGTCTTACCAAATGGATAGATTTGCATCAAATTTTAACAAGAAAAAAAGTGAATGCATGCACAGTTAAGCAACATTTTTGGACCAATTGCACTTGGCCTCCCTCCTGCAGTGTGGAGCTGCTGTGTGCTGCCTGCCCCTGGCTCCCCTCCTCCTTACCCTGGGCTACAACACAGGCTGCTTGGCTGGCATGTCTAAAGTGACAGAAGGGGCGCTGACAGGAGTCACAGCTCAGAAAAGGGCAGGAGAAATCCAGAAAAAGCCAGCAGATCTCAGCATCTCGCCAGCCTCCAGAGAGAGAGAGTAACAAACCTCCCTCCCTCCAGCCACACTGTCTAACCCAGATATTTAACATAGGCCCCCTCTCCAGTCACTGCAAACACCTGCTGCTCAGCCCATTCCCATTCAATGTTACCACAGACACCTTAACTGTGTGTGGCTTGAAATCTATTCCCTTCCCAGTTCAATTAGACCAGAAAATAAGGGGAATCCACAACAGGTCAATCAACTCAGTTACTGAAATCTTATTGAGTGACAATAATCTTTGTGTTCATCTCTTTCTCTCTTTCCCTCCCTCTTTTCTGGGATTGAGCCCATTAGTCCTGCAAAATGGAGAATGCTGGAAATCTGAAATTAAAGCAGAATCTGTTGAACCTGCAGATCAGGCCAACCACATCTTGAAATAGAAATTTAAGTAACAAATTTGGCTCTGAGCTCTCAAATGTCTGACTTCAATAGTCTAGGCTGAGGCTCGAATGTAGTGCTGGGGGAGTGCTACATTTGTGGAGGTGCTGTCCTCCACATGCACAGTACTCCCCCAGTTCTACATTGGAGAGATTCTGTGTTTGATATAAGAATAATAATCCTTTGATTTGGTATAACACCTTTCATGTCGGGAGAACATCACAAAGAGCTTCACAGGATTTACTGTGTAAAGTGCAGTGACTGTTTTTTGTATGCATATGTGGCAACATAACAAACCGATAGCATGTTATCATTTCCTAATAATTGAAAGTGTCTCACAATTTCCTGTAAATTGATTTTTAAGGTTCAGCCGGTTATACTAATAATGTTAATCCTTGCATGTGATATAGCACCTTATCACATCTTCGAGATATCTCAAACACTTCACAGTATATACTGTAAAGTGAATTGACTATTTTGTGAACAGGAAGACAACACCTCAGTTTAACCTTTCATCCAAACAACAGCACCACCACAAATGCATCACTCCCTCAGCACTACAATGGAGTGTCAGCCTAAACTAGGGGTCTCCAACCGGTCGATCACCACTAGGTGTCCACTTGCGCTTGCTTAATAAAGATAAGAGGAAGAAGCGATATTTACCACAATTATTTCGAGATAAGTATATGAAATACTTTATGTTTTGTTTCTAATCTAATTAAATAATTATGCAGTTCTCATTCCACTTGTTATTTTGATGATGTGCGAGAGCACCACATAGTGGCGATAGACTAGAGTTGGCAACTGCTGGCCGATGAGTTCAAAGTCCAAAATTTATTACTTATATTTCTATTTCAAATAACGGTTGACTTACTCTGCACTTTTAACAATTTTTGCTTTTACTCCTCCCGACTTGAAAGGCGCTGTGTAAATGTAACCCTTGACTGTTTGTGGAGCACTGCAATGCATAATTGGCTGACGCGTTTCGCCCACAAAATACACAGTCACTACACTTTACAGTATATTCTGTGAAGCGCTTTGAGATGTCTCAACAATGTGATAAGGCGCTTCTCAAATGCAAGGATTATTAGTATTTTTGATTTCCAGCGTTTGCAGGATAATTCCTCAGGACATGGGCTCAATCTCAGAAGAGAGAGAGACAAATGGACCATTTAATTATTTTAGACAGAAAATAGTGGATAAGAAGCAAGGGCTACTCATGATATAAGTGGCGGTAGATTGTGTCAGCAAATTCAAGAGAGAGTTAGATAGTTACATGTTATAAAAATCAATTGAGGATTATGAGAGGTAGAGCAGTGTTTGATGGACACCAATGTTTTTCTGGTCTTGTACATCACTGAGTTAAAAGCTTGCCAAAAGGATGTGAGAGGTTTGCATCGCAAGAATACGTTGTAACTCAGGTTAATTGCTCATAATAATACTTAACACCAATTAATGACAATAAGTTCTGATATATTTTATTGTACTTTTGGTCAGAGATTGCCTCGGTTGTTTCCAATAGTTCTAAATAACAAACATTTCATATCTACAATAATTCATTTCATACGCTTTCAAAGTTCAAAACAACCATCCAAACAATTATAATGATCACTTTTTTCACAATTAAACTTTTTTTTACAGAAGTCACAAACAGTTTTGAACTCCAAATTGAAAGGGACTTTTTATAAAAGCTAAATTTTTTATATTGAGGTTGTGGGATAATGCAGCCTGTGGATTTTGACAAATGTTTCCAATGCTCTTCTGAGATTGATGTGCCAAGGAGCACCCTTGGGATGTGATCGGCAAAGGGATGAACGTAGAGCATGAATCTAAAGTAGCTGCATAATCCTGACATGAATAATTATTCCACATTAGGGTTAAGGTAACTGTACTAAGTTATAGTTACAAATACAATGTATAAACACCGCTATTACTTTGGCAAATCATTTATTAGAAAATATCCCAAAGATTTCTCCAGTTGTTTGTGATCTCAGCTGTGACAGCATTATACTGTACTACAATTTGCCTCAGTATCTATTGGGGGAGAAAATCAGACAGGATTACCATTCTTGAGCACTGCACTGTCCACTTTTATCTGTTGGAAGGTTTGTTTGTGGACGTTGTGTGAGGACAGAGTTGGACTTGACTGTGAATTCCCCTCCCCAGCCCTGGTGAATAGGTTGCTCATACTCACTGTCTATGCTCACATGTCAAGTATGGGCACTTGGGCATGGTGAAGGTGCTGGAGAAGATTTGCTGCCTGTAATCTAAAAGTGCAGATCATTATATGTCAACACCTTCAGGAGCAGAGGGGAGATATTCTGGAAAGGGTGAGGAGAGGTTTCCTTCTCAAGGGATCATTTGGTTTGGATCATCCAAACTAGACATTAAAAGTTCCAAGAGTTTTACCCAGCCGGTCAGGAAAAATATGAATATCCAAATTAATAATAATCTTTGCATTTGATATAGAGCCTTATCAAGTCATTGAGACATCTCAAAGCGCTTCACAGAATATATATTTAAAGTGAGCATAAAGTGGCAGCCAATTGCGCACAGCAATGTCCCACAAACATTTGTGGATTGAGTGACCACATTTTTGGGTGGGAGGGATTATTACCCCTGAAAAGCAATCTGACAATTGACTTATTCCTTGGTAAACAGCGGCATATGAAATAAGGAAACTTGCCTAAGAGATAACTGTTGTGCCAGTAACGACAGTGTTAGTTTCAACAGTGGAGTCCATCCGGTGTAAGTATTCTCTTGCCTATTGCAGCTGGATGTTGCAGATCAGTTTCCAGGTCATCACTTTTAGGTGTAGGTTCAGGATGTTCCAAAGTGGTCTCTTTCAAAGATGTTAATACGCAGGTCTCATACACACGGAATGAAGCAAAGGCAGCTGCCACAATGCAGGAGGCTCCCAATATGTACCACCAGCTGAACGAGGCAAAAGAAGCTCCTTTCAACACACAATAAAGTCCAAAGAGAACCAGGAGAATCAGTGAGAACAACTGTATGCAGACAGGAGGATTTGACGTTTTCTTTGACATGATGTTAGGAAATAGCAGAATGCACCAGCGGTTTCTGTCAGTTGTTTCTTATTCAGCAATGCACAAGCCAAATGGTTTCTATATACAAATATCTTACTATGCAAATAGCTATTGAACGCCAAATGGCAAGACATGTGAAGACTGTCTGCTGATTGGGAAATAACTTGGGTTATACAGTATATATAGTGCTGCTCTGTGATAAGAATAATCCGATTGAATTGAAAGAGCAAGGTCCTAATACTTCAGTTTAGCCCCTACTGAATTCAAGGCAATTTTGAAAATAAAACTCCACACAAGTAATTCCGCTCCTGTTCATTCATATTGGCCAACTATTTAGCTTAAAAAACTTAGAAAGGTCTTTGAACACCAAACAACAATATCTCCAGCAATTAATTGCTGTGGTTGTTGCATTCAACAGGGATTACATCACTACATTTCAGCCAGATTGACCCCAAAGGATTATGCACCTTCTTTAATGTCTACATCTTACTTAACCATCAGATAAGTCTGCTCTGTTGCATTAGTTGATTAGTGGTAATATAGCATTAATCTAGAGGTGTCTAGAAATCTACGAATGACGCAGTACTGATGCTACTTTTATTTCTGAGTGTAAAGTATCCTTATAATAGGATTTTAACAGTAAGTCTAAACATAATATGCCTATTGGCTTGTAAGCCCAAATACACCGATTCAAACTCAATGCTCCATGAAGCAGATTCACAGTTGTAGGCTAAATGCTGTTCTGCTCTGCACTCTCAGTGAATTTGTTCCTGTGCACTTATCAGTGAACTTAATGTAATTTTAAAATAAAGTTAAACAGCATTATGAATATGAAATCAAATAACAATTTCAAAATTGCATTGTTTCTGTTTCAGAAGCACACAGGGACAAAATATCAGCAAGCTTACCAATCATCAAGAAGCGTGTTTATTCACTTCACTCAATTCACTGCATGTAACAATCAGAGCGGAACGACCCTCGCTGTTTCCTAGTTAGCTCCAGCTGTTGATATCTACCTGTTGATTTGATACACATTTGTTTTCTTCCAGGATTTCATGGCCCATAGACTCAGGTTGGAGGGTGTTAGCTCTTACTGGCAATCATATTAATGGGTTTTGGTTATGAACAGAAAGAAGGAGGATTGGGTTCCACTGTTACAGTCATTTTATAGTTTACAAGATAAGATTGTAAACCCAGGAAAGCAGTCAATGAGAGCATCCTTTCCAAACTGATATCACTGGTTATGAAGTCATGGTCATGATGGGCCTTCATAACCAGTTCACTAAAGGAACGGGAGCAGAAGGAAGTAGGAAGATCAAAATAAGCATTCTTTATCCTTAATTCCTTTGTGATTTTGTGAGAGTACATCCCTATTGCAAGGAACTGTGCCATTTCCTTACAACATACAAGGTCACTGCACAATATAGTAAATCCTTTGAGTTGTCCTCCTGATGTGAAAGGAGCTAAATTAAATAAGGGTTATTAAAATTGGAATACAGTTGATGCTTAGGACTGTTCCATTGGCTGCTTGTCTTAGTGAAATAAAACACTCGATAAATGGATCGATTCCAGAATGATTTAGCACCTACAAACATTTACATGGAGAGTTGCAGTCTGGTTCTGGCTTGAGTCCAACCTGTTTAGCACCATTCATTTCATTGTGAATTGATATGTTGTGAGATTTTACGGGGGGAAAAATTATAACATTTGATATAGCTTTCATGTCGGGAAGACATCCCAAAGCCCTTCATAGGATTTAGTGTAAAGTGCAGTGATCTGTGTGTTTTGTGGGTGTAGATGCTTAAAGTATTATTTAAGGATATGGGGAGCAATTGTCCATGCAGGGGAAAAACATTATGGACTTAATAATAATAATAATCCTTGCATTTGATATAGCGCTTTTCATGTCTTCTTGAAGTCTCAAAGCGCTTCACAGAATAATAATAATCCTTGCATTTGATACAGCTCTTTTCATGTCTTCTAGAAGTCTCAAAGCGCTTCACAGAATAATAATAATCCTTGCATTTGATATAGCGCTTTTCACGTCGGGAGGACGTCCCAAAGCGCTTCACAGAACACACTGTAAAGTGAATTGACTGTATATTTGTGGGCGAACGTGGCAGCCAATTGCGCACAGCAATGTCCCACAAACAGTCGTAGATTGAAAATGACCAATTTATTATTGTTTTTGGCTTTGGAGGGATTATTATTAGGCGTGTGGAGTAAGGAAACTTGCCCTAGGTTTTGTCCTGCCTGGAATTGAACCCAAGTGTCTCGCTTGATGTGCAAAGTAGCCCCATCCTGTCCAGTAACATTCTCTGTAATTAATCTGTACCATCATGGACATAGTGAGGAAATCCAGCTTTAACAAGTCATAGCTTCAAAGCAAAGATGATTTTACTTTTGGATTTTTGGCAGGAACTGTCATTTTATTAGTGTTTTTTTCATATTAATATTATTATTCCCAGCTTCAAACCTCTACCTGGGGATGATTATGAGGTTGTAAAGAAGTCTTGGCAGGAACTTGAGAGAACTGGCACACATCTGTGCATATTTATTTGCCAAATGATATTTGGCACATCACACACAGCATACACACGCTTACTAAAGTGATGGCAATTTAAGGATTATACTTGAAGGATGAGTAATAAAAATAGATTTGCCAATGATTCTCTCTGGTCCATACATTTCTGTGTCTGTAATTTATGGCAGTCTTGTTTATGCTTCTGACTGCATCAGGTGTAACTGAGAAATGTCCATCAAGCAGATGTAGGTTCACACTGTAACTGGTGAGCTCCTTGTCTCAATAGGGCCATTAACTTCAGATATGCCAAGGTGACAGGACAATAGGTCACAATTTCACAGCTGTGAAGGTTATGTTTAGGACAGATATCAAAGTGTGCTTCTTTCAACAGAGAAAGGGGTTACCATGAAGGGTGTTTGAGACCAGGAAACAGCTTGATCCTGGAAATGTGAATGCAATTGGGTGTGTATTCTGGAAATATGAGATTGAATGGGCTAAAGGACCACGTAATTTCTCTTGTGATCTCTTCTCATTTTGATGCCTCTGTGCATAATGATAATGACCCACCAGTTCTTGCACACAATTCCAGTGTTGCCAAACCTCCAAGATTTCAAACATCAGGACGTTGCAAAGAAACAAAATTTATTTCCTACCTAAAATGGACAAACAAAACCAGGTGCAAGTTGCTGACCGTAAGTGAGGAAGAAAATGACATACAAAATGGAGCAGACCAGAGTTCAGTTTCAGTGTAGATTTTATTTAAGGAGAACTTTGGAAAGCAATTAAAGTAAAACTTCTCCATCAACACCCCAATTAAACACATGTTCATGAACACTTAATCAACTATCAGCAGGATCAGAAGTAAAAATAATAAATCCTGACATTCTATGTTGGTGACAGCATAGACACATATTTGTTCTTACCCCAATGTTTATCAAAACTAAAATATAATCTAAAGGTGTCACCACTAAATGAAAGAAAAGTCAAATTCTTAACTTAAATGATACATGAAAAATCTTGGCTGGTTTATAACTCTTTCGCAATTTGCCAAAATCAAGCATTTGAAATGATTTCTAGTACAGAACCGAGTCATGTACCACTGCATTTTATTCTAAAATAATAATAATCATTATCTCAAATTCCAATTCTCAAAATAAGTAAAACTTCATGTATTTTTGTTGCACAATTGTAGCAGGACATTGACATACATTGATGTTAAGCTTCTGATAACCATTTACAGATCAAACATTTTTAAAACACTCCTTCATCTCTGGAAACCAACTAGACTTGGCTTTCTCAAATCAATTTGAATTAAATCACAATACCTTCAAGTACCCTGGTACAAACCAAAAAATGATGATATTGATGATAACAGATTTTCTCTGTGTAAACAGATTTTTACACAAGTACAATAAATAGCAATAAACTGGATGAATAAGGCAGTACAGCAAATGTTTGAAATCATTCACGACTGCTTAGCAAAAAATAGAATGTGCCCAAAGTGTATTCTCATGTTTATTGATTAAAGAATGAGATCTACTCCACGATGTTCACTAAAAATTTGATCTTATTCTTTCAATTGTAAATAAGTAATGAAAAGAATGTTACATTTGGTTGGAAGCTGGATGGCTGCTAGATGGTCCAGTGGCCACTTCTGCCTCAAACCTTTGCACTGTTCGATGATCAGTGCCTTACAGATCTCAATACTTCTGAGAGATGAAAATTGGTTCAAATCAGATTGCCATTTGATAGTTCTTTTGAAAAGCATATAAGATTGTTTCACAGTGATATTACGCATAACAGATCTGAACTACACATGTAACAATTGCAGACTTCTGCAGCAATTATAATGGACCAATATTTCATTTTAATAATGTACTTTATTGTATAGTGTGTGTGAAATATGTTTATTGTATAGTAAGTGTGAAAATGCTTCGACAAACTGGGATTCAGGCAATCAATGTTGACATCACTGCTCCTTGGCTAATCAAACATTTAATTTAAAACGTTCCTTGTAGTTTTTGAATCACTTACAACCAAGTTCCATGCAAGTGCTATAAAAATGGAGCTGCAGCTTAGGTCAGCCATTTGGGCTGCCTACTTCACACTGGAAACTAGCTGTTTTCTGCATTAAAAATGAACTTTCGTGCATGATTTAAAAGGAATACCAGCAACACATAACAGAAGGTGCAACTTGCACTTCACATCTGAGATGTATATTCTCTCAAAACTGTAAAGGATTGACAGGTTGATCAAACCCAATTCTTATGCCTCCTGTGCCTAGTTTCCACCATCCCTTCACCAAAACTGTAAAAAGCTTCATATTATTGGGGGACAATGATGAAGAGTGGCACAAGTAGCTGTCTCTGTGTAGTTAGTTCCAGGTTTATAAATCCTCACATCCCTATTCTGAACACACAGCGTGATACGTGATGCTCAACAAGAGACAGCTTGCCCAAGTGAGAGCTCAAGGGCAAAAATATATTTGAGGTCAAGAATGCAGTTTCAACCTGGAGTCTCAAAGGACCATAAATATTGAATCTATTTTCTTAGTATTTTGGAATGTTCTGAATTTAACAAATTCTTAAATACATTTTAAAGTTACAAGTTTCTTTTAAAAACTGCAGAAAACCAACTTCAAAGGTTAAGCCTGAATTCAACAATTTACCAAATTCTGCATGCTTCGTAATGCTATCGTAAACGGGTAAATTTCTCCCCAGGAATTCAATATTTACAATCCTTTGCAAACCAGATTGCATCTGTCATTAAGTCCCCTATTTCACTGCTGCTGCAATGCATTTTCTGGTTATAAGGTCTGTATACTTAGTAAGATTTTACTTGCTAAAATGAGATATTTTTGATCATAAACTAAATGCCATGTAATTAGGTAGGCCAGAGCAGAACATCTAGATTTGACTTAATCAATGCTCTTATGAACTGGATTATACAGGTCATTAAGCAGAACTGGAGTGGAGTATAAGCACCAGCCAGATTTTATGGGCTCTATTTCTGAACCGTACTTTCTATGAATCTAGGAACAGATGAACCTTGTGATATATGCACAAATAAGCTATTAACGTGCATTTGGTACATTAATAGCCTAGGTTCATCTGCCACATTCGACGTAGTCCACCACGCCATCCTCCTCCACTGCCTCTCCTCCCTGATCCACCTTAGTGGACCCACATTCACATGGTTCGAGTCCTATAATAATAATAATCCTTGCATTTGATATAGCGCTTTTCACGTCGGGAGGACGTCCCAAAGCGCTTCACAGAACACACTGTAAAGTGAATTGACTGTATATTTGTGGGCGAACGCGGCAGCCAATTGGCACAGCAATGTCCCACAAACAGTCGTAGATTGAAAATGACCAATTTAATTATTGTTTTGGTTTTTTTTTTGAGGGATTATTATTAGGCTCTGTGTGGAGTAAGGAAACTTGCCCAAGGTTTCGCCCTCTGCCTGGAATTGAACTCAGGTCTCTCGCTTGCAAAGCGAGTGCTCTAACCACTGAGCTACAGGACTCTAACCACTGAGCTACAGGTCCTAATTAACCAAATGCTTCCACTTCATCTCGGCAAATGGTTTCTCCTCCCACCTCCACCCGGTCACCTGCGGGGTACCCCAGGGCTCCATTCTTGGCCCTCTTCTTTTCCTTATCTATATGCTCCCTCTTGGCAATATCATCCGCAGACACGGGGTAAACTTCCACATGTATGAGGATGACACACAAATCTACTTTGCCTCCTCTAGTACCAACTCTAGGTCCGCTGATGTTCTAACAGCTTGTCTGGCAGACATCAAGGCCTGGATGAGTGTAAACTTCCTGCAGCTGAATGTGGACAAGACAGAAGCCATACTCCTTGTCAATGTGTTCACTCCTGTGGATCTGAACTCCTCAAACCTCCCTGGGCTCTCCCTCACACTCACCAAACCAGTGCACAACCTAGGCATCCGGTTTGACCCCCAGCTGTCCTTCCTCCCTCACATCCAGTCTCTGACCAGGACCGCCTTCCTCCACCTCTGTCACATCGCCCACCTCCAACCGTACCTTACACCAAAGGCAGCCGAAACCCTCGTGCATGTGTTTGTCACCTCCCATCTGGATTACTCAAACGCACTCCTCGCTGGTCTCCTCAGCTCTACTATTCAAAAAATCCAGCTCATTCAGAACTCTGCTGCCCACATACTGATCCAGACCAAACCCACATCTCACCAGTTCTGGACAGGCTCCACTGGCTCCCCATCACCGAACGGATTGACTTCAAGATCCTCGCACTCATGTTCAAATCCCTTCACCCTCTGGCACCTCCCTACCTCTCCAACCTCCTCACTCGCCAAACCACCACCCGGTGCCTCCGCTTGACTGGCACCAGCCTCCTGCTCGTCCCTCGCACCCTCCGCCCCACCATTGGAGGTCGTGTTTTCAGCGACTACGCCCCCAAACTGTGGAAAATTCTCCCTCAATCCCTCCACCTTGCCCCATCTCTCTCTTTCAAGTCCCGCCTGAAAACTTTCCTTTTCAACTGTGCTTATGGTCATCTGCCCCCCTGGCCCTCTCCAGTACTGTTAAGCACTCTGAGATGCTACCTTGCGTGGAGGGTGCTATGTAAGTGCAAGTTGTTGTTGGTAGTATGAGTAAATCCTGTTCTTTGAGTTAGTTAATTATTCAGCATTCTTTGACAAGTGATATGCTTTAGATTGACAGTCCTCTCCACTCCATTCATTTCCAGCCTACCAGAGTGGTAGTGCGTAAGGTTCAGGTACACCAGTCTCCATATGGGAGATATTTTACACTGCACACTAAAATAGCGATCTCGTCATGTCTACAATAGCATTTCCCATTGGAATAAATTGGTGAAAATGTGACTATCTTGATTGATCAGCGTAAATTGGGGTAAAAAGTACCAATTGGGAGCAAGGTTCACTCCCCAAATGGGAGGGCAACAGCACTCTGGGCACAAACGGCCACAGATGGACATCTCAGCTTAGGGTTTGTGACCCGTTCCCTCTTGTTTGAGGCATGACCTCTTGCCTGAAGAGGGGAGAACAAAGCAAATAACTGAAACTGAAACCAATCCACCTGAGAATGGGGCCACAGTTTCCCACAACTTGAGTGTGTCAAGTCTAGCTGCTGTGTAGAGAATAAGATGCATCCCTACAGAGAAAGTGAGTCTTTAGAGAGCAAGTCAGCCTGGATCACTCATCACTTTCTAGTAAGGCTAGCTCAACTGTAACGTGGACAGGTGATGCCTGGCAGTTACAGCTTGGTTGCCCACCAGTTAGGACAGGCCAATGCTACATGTCAGGAAGGGGGAGAAGAGAAAAGGGTGGCAAAGGGTAATTTATTTCCTTTTAATTATGAAAAAAAACATTCAAATGTTTTATCAAAACTGCTAATACAGTTAAATCCAGACATTTAAATGCCCAAATGAGAGTTCAGTATTCATAGACTTTTGACCATTGGCAACAGATCATGGAATTGAATGGGGTTCAAAGGGCTGTGAGGAACTGAAACTGTATGAATAAGCTTTCATTGTATCAATGTATCATTCAGTGATTTAAATGCTGCAATCACTGACTTGTACCTTTGCATTATCTGGAAACACGTTAACCGGGACTTTTGGTGGGAATAATAATCCTGTTTACAAACTGGTCCCTGTTCACCTTTTAATGTTACTTCAGAAATAAAACACAGGCTGACAAGTTGCCTGAAAGTAAACCCCAACGTTTAAACAAGTTAATTGTCATGAATTTAAAATTGCTGGGAATTAATTAGCGCTGGAGATAGTTCCAGAATAGTTTTGTGTTCATCTGATTGTGGGGGTGGAACATTTTCATATGTTTTTATATCCAGAGTCAGTATTGAGCACTCCTGCAGAAAGCTCCTTTGGTTCTCCCTCAACAATGGCCCAAACTCAAGCAACGAGTCCCCAAATCTCCATGGTGTTAGATTTAAGAGCCTGGTCTTAACATTTAAGATTGTGTGGAATTGTGGAAAAGTGTTAAATTCAGTCTTAATTTGTATTAATTCATATTTCTGCAGTTTCCAGGAAACAAGCTCCCATATTAAACCTGAATTTAGACTGGTTTCTAAAATTCGGCACAATCTTTTTTTAGGACAATGGTTTTCAGACCAAGACCATTCGCTCTAGGAATTTCTCAGAAATGTGCCAGTGTGACATTTCTGTTTTACACACCCTATTTCCAGAATGATTTAGATTGACAACAACTGGCAAATCTGGGCTGTTTTGCAAAGTAAAGATTAAAGGGAAGTGTTCATTCTATCAGCTTCCAATGGATTTAAAGCCATCTTCCAAAGGTGAGATTGCACTCTATCACCCAGTCCTCTCTTGCTCCACACATTTCCCATCACAAGACAAACTGCCCATTAACAGATCTCCATTAAATAACAAGATTACGGATCCAGAAATGGTGGAGCAAAATTGAGATTGCCCTACTATTTAGCTAATTCCCAGGAAGCAAACCTCAGCAGCTCAGACGTAGACACAGAGTTTAATTGGTGCCTGAGAACCAGCTCCACCGGTGGATCTATTCTTTAACCAATCCTGATGAAACTGGCACAAGCCTGTTGTTCATTTAAGGCAAGTGCAAGAGTATAATGAAGCTAGGGATTTGCAACCAAAAAATAGATGTGATCACAACTTAAAAAAAAGACAATTGGATCCAGTGGAATGGAAATTGAGAATGAAAAGGTGCAGAACTGGATCAAAATGGGACTTTGAGGCTGGATTTTCCGCCTCAGAGTTCTTCAGAATGAACAATAAGCGCTCCAAGACGCTGTCCAGCGCAAAGGGCGCTATATAAATGCAAGTTATTGTTCTTGTTGTATTTCAGAGCTTGATTGCACCTCAGTCAGAAAGGTACAAAGCTGTTTTCAGACACTTCTCTTAGTCTCTATCTTGGACCTTGCTTAATCAAAAAGAGATGAATCATGTAAATATAGACAATTTTTTTTGTAATATTTGTGCTGCTTAATGTTCACATTTACGACCAGTGAAACGCAGAAGAAATACTTATTGGCGGCCGTCACTGAACAAAATTCTGTCTTTGACCCTCTCGATTGTGGGGTCATGGAGACGAGCAGAGAGCAGATATATTTGCTGCGTGCGGGTACTCAATAGAGTCTGCAGGTAACTGGACTATTCGTAACATCTTCTTTTGTGGAGCAGTACTTCAGTGGCATATTCGTGCTGTCATCTCTTTCTGTACACAGACAGGGGAGAAAGAGAGTATGTTAGTTTTTTGAAAGTTTGTATCTTCCCAGCTTCAAGCTAACCAAGGCTTCCTGCTGTGACTGGAACATCTTGGGAGTTAACGAACTGTGGAAGACTGATGTACTGTAAATTAAAGAGTCTGTCAGGTGAATAACTTGTGGCACTTTACAATCGAGCTATCTCAGCATTTAGCTGTACAGTAATATAATACAACCACGGTCACCGTGGCAACCAAATAAATTTTCTGAAAATAACGATTGCTGCGGTTCCCAATACTCGCCTCGCAAATTGGAGAGTAATGACACAATAAGCTGTGCGGGCTGTGATCAACCAAGATTTATCTTATAGTAAACCTACACCGACAGGACTAACTGACAGGAATTCCCACTAGGTGTAGTGCTTTGCCCTCACATCTAGTTTGGGGGAATGATTGTGCAGAAGTGTACCGTCTACAGGCATCATGTTAATAGCCTGGCCTGTCACAGTTATTTTGTCACATTTCTGGACTGTTCAATCCCAATAGTTAAGATTATTTTTTTATCTAAACGATACAGGGCTAGAGCTCATGTTTACTCGTATGTTTTGAACAATCCTGGATATGAAATGATTTAATCACTTGCTTTTTCACTGATATTAACACCATGGTTCAAATCACTTCCTAGTAGATTGTGGAGTTCTATGCTTCTTCCTTCTTCCTTTCTACAGGGTGTCCATAAAATCCTCTTACCTCATTACAAAATAGCTATGAGATATGAGACTATGGAGGAGATGAAACAAGTCGTGAAACATGCATTTCACCTCGTCACTCTATCCATGTTGTGGAAGATGTTGCACCGAACATGGCGAAAGATTATTATCTGCCATGAAAATGATGGCATTCACGCTGATCCTCTGGATGTCTAAATACAGTTAAGCACTTATACTGAATACAATTAATTAGTTTTAAATACAATTGTCATTATTCTTCCACATGTTTCAGTTGGTGGTTCAGTGCACAGAGAGAGCGGAGAAAAAAAGTAACAAGACTTTGTGGACATCCTGTAGATCGTCACCAGGGCAAAGGCTCCTCTGTGAATGCTCGGAGATTGGCATTTCATCCAAGTGGATGGGCCATGGCTACGCTGAGCTGGATCAATGCGTTCCAGTGAAGTGCATCCACTAGATGCAGGACATAGTCTGTTTACCAGGTTAATGGAAGCCTTTCTTCTTTCTTTTACATTATTTTGAAGACATTCTTCTCCCTCTCTGTAGCCTCCTGTGCTACTCACTTTTCCCAGCTGAACAGGACCACTGCCAATTTGCACATAGAAGAGTCGAGTGATTCAATCTTCTTTCTGTGGGGAAGTCGCTGGTCTCTACATGGTGTCTCCTCACTGCACCGCTATGGCCTGTATTCCACTATTCCGAGACCTAATCTGCTGTAGCTCTAACGTGCTGTAGCTGCACTCTGCAATGCACAGGTAGCGCAGTGAGTCAATGCGCCAAGTTGATAGTTCTGTGGGCATCCACTTTATCTGACATAAATAGAGCCTATCCACTTTGATGAAATAGCAGTCGGGTGTCCTATAGTTGGTTCAATTTATGAATTGGCTTACATATTGGTTATGCAGTGTTTGCAGGAACATATTTTACTACCTGAAATCTTATTCACATGGGTAAGGAGCATCATCCTTGATGGCAGGGGCACCCTGATTTGATTGAGTGATGAATTGGATCTATTTGGCACTTCGAGGGATACCATTCCCCACCCTATCAGCCCTCTTGTATCAGCCCTTTTTGGAGGAGGGAAGCTACTGTGATATGTAGAGGATGTATAATGTTGTGCAGGGTGTCATGAAGTTTGTTTGGCAGAAGCAGCCTTAGGCAGAGGCTGTATGAAAATTACACTTGTGCACCTCCAGAGCGTGCCAGTGGGTGGAGCTAAAACCATCTCCAATATTTTTCACAACACAATTTTTCTTCCCTTTTTTAAAAATGCATTTGTGATTTTTGTTAAGGTACTGAATAAAGATAAGTTCAACAGACCATGTGGCTGTGTACAGAATTTTAAATAATTAATATTTGTGTTTGGATATTGCAATTAATGCGATTTCATTTGATGAAAGCAGCAGTCTTCCCAGGGAAAATGTTCAGCAAAATTTTTTTTGTTTCTTTGCAAATTCTACAAGATATTTGTTGTCAATTGTATTGTTGCCCATACTGGTATCTCCTAAAGTGATGCAGATATTAAATCAGCTTTCTGTATTTTCTAAAATTCTTTCCTGAAATCGCTTCATCTCTCCCTTTTCCTCTGTTTTCAAATGCACCACGAAAACCCCTTTGACAATGTTTTCAAGCTTCTTCGCTGTCCCAGCTTGGGCTCCGATTCAAGTCATTGTAAAGTCCTTTGGCCAATCTCCCAAAGTGAAAGGTGTTACATCAATACAAATCGTTATCGACTTGTCTACGTTACATCTGCTCTGGTCTTTCCAAAGGAAAAAAAATGACAAACCACTAGGTTAATTTGACTTTCTGTAAGAAATATATTTCTGGGATTGTGGGGGCGTTTAGTATCTTTGCCTTATGCCTAAGAAGTGATTTGCATTTGTTTGCAACCTGAACACTACAATTTGGCTGCATAGATTTTCTACATAAGTGGAATTCAGAATTCAGATAAGACTTTTGTCATAATTCTTCAACTCTTTGTTTAAAGAGCCACGGACTGTGAGATCATGATCCTCTCAAGCGGTAGTCCATTAGTTTTGATGCTTGGCTTGCAAAGTCAGACAAATGAAGTTAATGAGTGCTCAAAGGTTTTGTCCAAACCATATCCTCGGGAGTGACTGTGCCAAAGGTTATGAAACTATATCGTGAAACAGATTAGGAACAAAGTGTTCCTTAAAACTAACTTGCCTCAGCCCCGAATCTAACTGATACAAGGTGGAGGGATAAAAGAACTTGCAAAGGATGAGATGAGAGAATAAAGAACGCAGCACTAGAGCATTATCTGACCACAGTTGCAGCAACAAATAAAGGGATGGGTAACTGGGACCTTTCAAATCACAGTCTCCTCCCATATAATGCTGGACACAAAGCCTCTGCGGAGATGTCATGAATTTGTTTAACAGGTTTAATTACCAAGGGCATTATTCTGTGTTGCCCCAGTTTAAGAAACATCCATTGGGAAACTTCCAAGTCTTTCTTTATTGTTGCTTTGTATGCTCTGCAATACAATGTCTTGTAACATGCTGAAAACTATAATCTTGGGTTACATCTGTTCTTAGTGCCTCAAAAGCCAAAATGCACGTAAAACACACACCTGTTCACTGAGAAATTCCATCACTTCTTTGATGGGTAAGATCTGATTGATGTAATTGCAGAGAAGAACAGCCAAAAGAGAAAATTATACCCACTACAGACTGAATCAAATAGAGCTTCCAAACCTTGAAGTTGAACTGCAGTCTTACGTCAGAGGAATACGGTTCCAAACTTAATGCAGACCCAGTTTCTCTTTGTCTTTTTAATTGACAGCTTTGGTGGGTTAACGGTTGATGCTGTTGAGTCCAAAGATTGTGGGTTCAAACCCTTCACTTGGTTTTCAGTGCAGGCTGATACTCCCATGCAGTGCTGTGGGTGCACTTCATTATTGGAGGTGCCATCCTTCCAATGAGATATTAAACCAAGGTCCCATCTGCACAATCAGGTGGATGCCAAAAATGTCATGGCACTATTCGAAGGGAAGGAAGATGCTGCCTGTGTCCAAGCCAACAATTCTCCAGATAAATTGATCATTCACTTCATGGCTGTCTGTAGGAACCTTGCTGGCTGCTACATTTGCTTGGACAATTTCAGCAAAACCTGTCAGCACTTACTTGGGAAGCCTTTTGTGAGATGTTTTAATAGGATAATGTGCTATAAAAACTCTGTTGTTAGATTCTACATTGATATTTGCAGAAAATCAATTTTGGCAGCAATTGTTGAATTCGTTTTTAAAAGGTTCACCAACTTTGAGAAAAACAGAATGGGAAACGTTACTTCATTGAGGTGCCAGAGACCAATAAATCAGGATAAAAACAATGAAGTCACCCACAAATTATACAATCTGTTTGCAAACCAATGGAAAGTGAAGCCATTTAATAATAATCCTTGCATTTGATGTAGCGTCTTATCACGTCATTGAGACATGTCAAAGTGTTTCACAGAATATACTGTAAATTGTAGTGACTATATTTTGTGGGCAAATTGAGGCAGCCAATTGTATACTGCAGTCTCCTACAAACAGTAATGGATTGAATGACTAAATTATTATTATTTTATTAAGGGATTATTCCCTTGAAAAGCAATCCGCCAATCGACCAACAACTGGGTTCCTACTTACTGCTAGGTAAACAGAGGAATATGGAGTAAGGTAAATTGCTAAGGTTTCACCCTGCCTGGGAATCAAATCCAGGTCCTCTCACTTGGAGGCGAGTGCTCTAACCACTAAGCTACAGGACTCCACTCCATTCCCACAAAGTTGGTGTCCAATTAAAAGATTGAAAGGATATGCAGCACTCCAAACAGTTCATACTTTGAAAAACAACCCAAATGTTTTTTGTTTGAAATTGAAACATACGTTGCCTCATTAGAAAGTCTGTCAGTGCTTCAAGAGAGTTAGCCAGCTGCCTTTCCACAGATATGCTCTTCAGATCTGCCATTTGGTTCATAAGTGGGTCTTGTTGAATTCAGAGACACACTTTCCTGAAATCTGCAGAAAGACTACAGTGCTTGAAACGGTCAAACCTGCTGTTGGTCTCGATATGAACTGTAGAGTTCGACACCGTGTTCTCCCCCCCCCCCCCCCCCACCCATCCGACACTGTTCTATCCCACTTCCTTGTATATCCCACAATATTCCAAACAGCCATAAAATAAATGATCAACTTTATCTGGGGGATTGTTGGCCAGGACACCAGGAGAAAATCCCTTCTCTTTTTGATTAGTGACATAATAATAATAATAATACTTGCAT